CATCCGGGCAGAATCTGGTGCGGAGAAGGATCTCGAAGTGAGCCCCTGCCCACACATGACTCGGAGCTCGGGGTTAATGAAACATCTTCTCGTAGAAATCCATAGTCAACAACAAGGAAGTCTTTGACTTTCTGGAGAGTGCTGCTCGCAAATATGGCATCGAGTTCTGGAGGCCTGGCTCTGGCATTATCCACCAGATCGTGCTGGAGAACTATGCTGCACCTGGTATGCTCATGTGAGTTTTATCTCAAGTCGGAAAAAATCTCTGCGCGCTGATGTGTTATCCCGTTTTTCAGGCTTGGTACAGGTATGCAAGTCGTTCGAAATTCTCTTCGGCACTCAAGTGCATTGCAGACTCGCACACGCCCAATGCTGGCGGACTTGGCATGCTCGCCATTGGTGTCGGTGGTGCTGACGCCGTCGACGCTTTGACTGGTACACCATGGGAGCTGAAGGCTCCTCAAATTGTTGGCATCAAGCTCACCGGCGAGCTCACTGGCTGGGCGACTCCCAAGGATCTCATTCTTCATCTTGCAGGCAAGCTCACGGTTAGGGTACGCTAACATGTAGCACTTTGAGATGGAGCGGTACTGAACGCGGCGTAGGGCGGTACTGGTCGTATTCTGGAATATTTTGGCCCCGGCGTCTTCAACCAATCGTGCACTGGTCTTGCGACGGTAGCAAACATGGGTGCTGAAGTCGGAGCTACTACGTCGACGTTCCCGTACACCGCCGGCATGCGGTCGTACCTCACAGCTACAGGACGTGCCCCGGTTGCTCGCGCAGCAGATCAGGCGGCTTCCCGGGGCTTCCTGCAGGCGGACGAGGGTGCTGAGTATGATGAACTCATCGAGATTGTATGTGCGTCTCGTTCACAGATATCACGGCGACTAAAGCGTTATCTCAGAACCTGAGCGAACTGGAACCGAGCATCAATGGCCCCTTCACCCCCGATCTGGCTACGCCTCTCTCCAAGTTCGGACAGTTCATCAGAGAGCAGGGCTGGAAGGACGAACTCTCGGCTGGACTCATTGGGTCGTGCACCAACAGCTCATACCAGGATATGGTAAATTATGCTCACTTCCCTGCGTATAATAAGCTTACTCCATCAGACTAGTGTCGCGGACCTCGCTCGGCAGGCTAAACAAGCCGGTCTGAAGGCCAAGGCAAGTATCAGATGCTTTTTCTTGACAACGAATGAGGGCTCATATTTACACGATCACAGATTCCTTTCCTTTGCACACCAGGTTCAGAGCAGATTCGTGCGACTATGGAACGCGATAAAGTGACGGACGCTCTTGAGGAGGTCGGTGCTACCGTCCTAGCAAACGCATGCGGGCCTTGCATCGGTCAGGTAGGTTTTACTCATAGCGTATTTCTCGGCCGATTCCTAATTATCTCGTAGTGGAAGCGCGACGAGAAGCAGGATGAGGAAAATGCCATTTTGACCTCATTCAACCGGTATGTCCCAAGATAGGCACCAGACCCTCGTATTGTCTAATCTCATAGTCCAGGAACTTCAAGTCTCGTAACGACGGCAACTCTAAGACGATGAACTTCCTCGCCTCTCCTACCGTTGTTACTGCCATGGCCTTCTCTGGCAAGCTTAGCTTCAACCCCATAACAGACTCCATCACTCTCCCTTCTGGCAAACAGTTCAAGTTCCAACCGCCGCGCGGACAGGACCTTCCCTCTACTGGCTTCACTCCCGGTCGCACTGCTTTCTACCCGTCACCGGTGCCTGAGCCCCAGCCCGAGACCGAGGTTGTCATCCGCAAGGAATCGCAGCGCCTCGAACTCCTTCAGCCATTCGAGAGTCATTTTGGCCCCCACAACCCAAGAGGTCTCGAGCTTCCTACCTGCAAGGTGCTTATGAGGGTCCGCGGCAAGTGCACAACAGATCATATCTCCGCGGCAGGCCCGTGGCTCAAGTACAAGGGACATCTCACAAACATTTCCGAGAACCTCCGTAAGTACACGCAGATATTCAGGTACAAGTAGCGACGTTGACATTCTGTGCAGTGATCACCGCTGTCAACGACGAAGGCGGAGACGTTAACGTTGCATTCGACCATGACCACCCTCCGTCCAAGAGCGAGACAGACACTATTCCTGGTATTGCAAGGCGTTTCAAGTCCCGCAACCAGCCATGGACCCTCGTCGTTGACGACAACTATGGCGAGGGCAGTGCACGCGAGCACGCTGCGCTCCAGCCTAGATTCTACGGCGCTGCGATGATCATTGCGCGCTCATTTGCCCGCATCCACGAGACGAACCTCAAGAAGCAAGGCATCCTCCCGCTCTGGTTCGTTGACAAAACAGACTACGCACGCATCGGCTCCGGAGACGTTCTCGAAACATACGGTCTCGAAGACCTGCTGAACGGCAAGGGGCAGGCCCAAATCACCATCCGCGTGACCAAGCGCAATGGTGATATCTTCGAGATCCAGACAAGGCACACTATGTCCAAGGATCAGCTCAACTGGCTCCGTGCGGGCTCGGCGCTGAACCACATCCGCTCAAAAATTCAGCAGGCGTAGATTTGCAAGATACGTTTGTGTACCACACTACTGGATATTATGTAGATGTACGGTATAGTGATATTTGGGTATATCATTAGAATACGCTACTTTCAGTGAGGGTCCGCCCGAGTGAGCGCAGCTTAGAGCTGTCGCGTGAGAGGAGACCAACTGTAGGATCACGGAATGAGTGTATGGCGGCGCGGGCGACGGTGACGGCGGACGCAGGCATGCCAGCGAGTTCAGCAACCTTAAGGCCGTGGCTATCTCTATTAACACCAGGTTTTAATCGGTGCGAGTACGCGAAGTAACCGTCCTACGAAAGATATCAGAATAGGTGCAATCCACAGCCAGTGAGTAGACTTACTTCCATCTCATCAACGTCGGTGTAGAAGAATCTAACACCGCGGAAAATGCCGTCGCCTCGCTCGCCATCTGAACAGCCGAGCATATCCGCAAGCTCGTGAAAATGGGTGGCGAACAGTGCGCGGGACTTGTTCACGGTGATTAAGTGGTGGATCGTGGCAAACGCAATGGCCAGGCCGTCCTGTACTGACGTCCCTCTCCCGACCTCGTCCATGATCACTAGGCTATTCGGCGTCGCCCGACTGAGAATGTCCGCTGTCTCCATCATCTCGACCATGAACGTGCTACGGTTGCGGAACAAGTCGTCGTTCGCGCCAACCCGCGAGAATATCGCGTCGACGATGCCGACCTCAGCAGTGTCCGCGGGGACAAAGGAGCCCGTCTGTGCGAGGATGGAGACGAGCGCAGTCTGGCGGAGCAAAGTGGATTTGCCGGCCATGTTGGGGCCTGTAATGACGTGCAGAGGGCTATCGGCCATGAATGCTACAGTGTTGGGCACGAAGGTCCTTCCCGCGGCGAGTAGGCCGAGCTCGACTGTGGGATGGCGACCGTTTACGATATGATGGAATTTACTGGAAGAATCGTGTTAAAACAAGCTGGTATCATGGACAGTATAAATACGCACTCTTCCCGAAGCACTGGCCGCACGAAATGCATCTCGTGTGCCAAGCTGGCGAAGGCTATCGTGACGTCCAGCTCATCAGTGATGCGAGCATTGCGGCGAATGTTAGTTTCATGTTCGTTGACTTCTTCTCTCAGGATCTCGAACGCCTCTCGTTCGGCCATTTGTATCTCACTCGTGGTTTGAACAATTTGAGCACCCAGTTGGGACCATTCCTGTCGTTTCCGGTTAGTGGCTTTTGGTTTGTTTGTAGTATGACATAGGTTGTTACCTGAAGGAAGAAGTTGCTCGTAGAGGCACTTTCCAAGATAGGGATGAAGAGAGATTCTGCCCTGATTTTCGCAACGTCACGCTTAGCCTTGGCGATGTGGACGTGCATACCATAGCCAGGCGAGGAACGCAGGGTCAAGGAAGGCGCGTCTGGCCAATGAATAGATTTGAATCAGTGAGATAAGTAGCAGCGATATGCTTACTGTACTTCGCCTGAAGATGTTGTTCCAATCGCTCTCGACGATCTAGGCAATCAGACAGTGTCTTGTGCAGTGCCGTGAGCTGTCCGGAGAATCTACGAGCAAGTCAGGAGGGTGTTCACGAGTTGAATATAGAAGCCTTACTCTGGCCTCACAGTCCAATTGAAACCGGTCACATAATTAGGCTTGAAATTGGGAACGGCTGGAAAAGCCTCGTCTTCAGGCTCAGGATCGTGATCGTCCTGATCCTCTGAAAAATCCTGGGACGTGGACGCTACTGATGCGGTACCCTTCCTGCTCAGAGCCGCTTCTATGCGATTAGAGAGGACCCGAAGACTATGCAGCTTTTCCACCAAGGTATCCAGACTAACCCACTCATCATCCTTCAATGAACCTTTCTCCTGTGCCTCCATCCTCTTCTCTAACTCTAGGCGCCGTTTGATCGAGGCCCAGACCTTGACACCCACGCTGATAGCGGAGAGGTCGGTGTGATCGCCACGACCGAGAAGGAGCTTTTGGACAACGCGTGCTGAGTCTTCGAGCTCACAGAGCATCTCTGACAGGTCTTGCCGCAAGTGTGGTCGCGCGTAGAAGAAGGCGACGAGAGACTGACGTGAGTTGATCTCTTTCAGAGATACACTGGGTGAAGCTTTAACAGATTTGAGCTCAATCCGAAGACGCGACCCAGAAGTTCCGACTCACAGATCCAGCGAGCAAGCAACCGCGTTCCACCGTTCGTAACCGTTCGTTTGATGCTATTCAGCAAACTGCCGGCCGTGCTTCCTTCTCGGATAGTCTCGCAAATTTCGAGAGACTTGATTGTATGCGCGTCGATTTGCATTCTACCTGTCGTTGCTTCCTTGCTTGGTGACGGCAGACGAGGCATGTGCTCCAAAAGATTGGCGTGAAGGAAGGCAGTGAGCAACTGCACAGCCTGGGACTCTTCCTCTGTCAGAGCAATTTTGAACGTGAGGGCCGACGGCTCCATTTGGGAGGTGAGATCGTCAGAGCCTATGCGTTCAGCGAAGAGGACATCGTTCTGTGATTGAGTGGTTGGATGTATTGGGGACACGAAGAACTTCTCCTCCGCGACAGTCCGGCGAACGGGGTGTGCCGAGTCTTCGAAGATGCTCTGCTCGAGCACAATTTCCTTAGGACGGATGCGCACAAGCTCATCTCTAAGAAGGGAAATCGCAATACTTTTGGCGAAGAATTCTCCGGTAGAAACGTCGATCCAAGCAAGTCCCACGGAGTCCCCGAGTCCAAGGTTGCCGTCGCTATCAGCAGAGGAAGGTGCATAGACGGAGAGCAGATAGTTATTTTCGTACTGATTCAAGAAAGGTTCGTCAATCAGTGTCCCGGGTGTCACGATACGAGTGACTCGTCGATTAAAACCACCCTTCGGACCAAGGATGCGCGACTTCATGAACTCTTCACACATGGCGACGAAACGGTTATTGTCTTGTACAAGGACCTTAAGGTACTTGCTCAGATGCATGAGAGGAAATCCGCACATGGGGACGCGCTCTCCGCCCCATCTTTTGGACGCGAGCTTGATATTTAAAATGCGAGCGACTTCCGCGGCCTGACTGAAATATGACTGTAACATCGCAGGTCAAATAGAAAAGGATGAAGGAGCAGTGTAGGCACGAACCTCATAGAACTGTCCTACGCGCGTGAGCAAGATGCAGTGAGGGAATTTGGCCAGATTGTCCAACACCTCTTTGGCCAGAGGCGTCATAGGCTGCTCCGGAGCAGCTGGTTCGTCCAATACTGCAAGCGTAGACGTCAGTGTATTCATTTACACCATAAAACAGAGCTTATAACCTGTAGCTTTCTCCACTATCGGTGTCTTCGATTTTTTGCGAGCCTTTGGTTTAGATGGTTCAACTACTGCATCCTCCGCTCGCAGCTGGTCAGAGTGGTCGCTAGCTTCCCCTACAGTAGATGTCATCTTCCTCTTTCGACCCCTACGTTTTATAGGGGATACTAGCTGGGAAGAGCCTCCAGTATTCTCGTCGATGTCTGACGGAGGCCCTTTTTCAGGGACCACCCCTTCTAGGTTACCTGCATCCACTAGTGCACGCGGTGTGGCATCTTTCAGTAATTACCAATATCTATTACTATGAGAATACTCGTACAAAGATAAGATGGAGTAGATTTGGCTTGTCCCAGCTCCAAGCCTCCTAACCAGGGACCAAGAGGTACAGCAGGCGTCCCATCGGGATTGACCCAGGTCTTCGGCAGTTCAGAAAATTTCTTCTTAATTTTCGTTCTCTTCACAGTGGCGGCGGGAGAGATGGGACTTGCAAGCGCGACTTCATTGCACAGAGGACCGTGTCGAATACTGAATAATCGCACTGAAGCGGGTGCCTTCGAGCAAGAATAATATAGCCATAGCCTGGGATAAGGACCAATCACAGGTAGCATAGGCCCTTCGCCGTGCCTACAGACTCTGCGAGATAGATAGTCAAGCAGCAACCGAAGACAAGCAGAAAGGCAAGCAATGATGAGACGAGGTCCAGAACAAGAAAGTGTTTCAGCGGCTATATTAAGCGTCTATCAAATTTCCCAACGTGGAGGCGGAGTTCGAAAGGTAAAGCTTGGGATCGCGAGAGTCGTCAACGAAGCCAACTACCAAGCCAGCCTGCAGTACCGCCCGTTGCAACCATGTCTTTCGCCGGCAGACGCAGAGGAAACAAGGTCAAGAAGGGTGTTCAGTTCACCGTCATGGTTGTCGGTACGTCCGCGCTCATCTCGCACGCGCTTTGACAGTACAGCGCGGCCGTGTCGACACAGTAGCTCAGCTTACTTTCCCCGCAGGTGCCTCGGGTACCGGACGTACTACATTTGTGAACACCCTTTGCGAGTCTGAGGTTCTGCAGCACAAGGTCTGCGACTCTCCGGAGACGGCCCATCTGGAGGAGGGCATCAAGATAAAGCCCGTCAACGTTGGTGAGTCTCTATGGAAGCCGGAGAGGTCGATGCGACACTAAAAAGAAGTAGAACTCGAGGAGGATGGCGTACGCATTGCGCTGACTATTGTCGACACTCCTGGATTTGGCGAGAACATCGACAACGAGTTTGCGTGCGTACGCCTCACCCAACATTGAAATGACCATCAGTGACATTTGCACACAGCTTCCAAGAGATTGTTGGTCACCTCGAGCGGCAATATGATGACATTCTTGCAGAGGAGTCTCGTATCAAGCGTAATCCTCGCTTCCGCGACAATCGTGTTCACGCTCTGCTGTACTTCATCCCTCCCACGGGCCACGCGTAAGTTTGCTACACTCCGTTTTTGAGCCCCGATGACTAGCTTTTGGACATAGTCTTAGGGAAATGGATATTGAACTCATGCGCCGCCTTTCGCCACGCGTCAATGTCATCCCGGTCATCGGTAAGGCCGACTCACTGACTCCAAGTGAACTTCGTGGCTTCAAGAAGCGGGTATGTTCTCTGGACTCGTGCGAAGATGTACGTGCTAACATTATAAGTAGATCATGGAGGACATTGAATATTACGACATTCCTGTCTACAATTTCCCATACGACGTTGAGGAAGATGACGAGGACACCATCCAGGACAACAGCGAGCTGCGTGTATGTTTTCGTCTGCATTTCGCAACAAAGCATTGAGTATTGATTGTTGCATACGCAGGGCTTGATGCCATTCGCGATCGTCGGCTCCGAAGAGGAAGTTGAGATAGACGGACAGCCGGTTCGCGCTAGAATATATCCTTGGGGTATAGCCGAAGTCGACAACCCTAAGCACTCTGATTTCAGCCGCTTGAGGGGCGCTCTCCTTGGGTATGTGTCTGCTTCGCGTAACTGCTACAGCAGCTGACCATTTATTCAGTACACATCTCTCGGACCTGAAGGCCCTTACCCACGATGTCCTGTACGAGACTTACCGTACCGAGAAATTGTCGAGGACAGTCCATGCGGAGACGACCGATTCGTCTATCCTCCCGGAGGAACTTGCCACCCAGAGCGTCAGACTCAAGGAAGAGCAGCTGCGTCGGGAAGAAGAGAAGGTGGGGCTACTTGTTGCATTAGCAAGCACTATGCATGCTAACATCGCGGGCCCTCTCAGCTGCGGGAAATCGAACTCCGCGTCCAGCGCGAGATCAACGAGAAGAGGCAGGAGCTCTTGGCAAAGGAGGAATCGCTCAGGTATGCCGCGTCTACCACACTGAAGGCGTTTCATACGCCTAATTTCCACTATCCACAGGAACCTGGAGAGTCGACTGGCGGCACAGGGCTCGCAGCCAGAGTTCCGGGAGTAGGGCGAGTAGGGATCCTTGCCTTAGTCGGTCTCTGGTTTGCAAAACGATGCTCGAGTACTATGATACCCCGTTCGGAAGTACAGTTTCCATACTCTCGTTTTCGTTATTCTTAGTGGTCTACTATCTGACTGGATTAATACACTTTGATAGCACACTCCTTTATCCGTGTCACTCACTTCCTACCGCCCGCATATTGATACCTCCTCTTTCCACCCCTTCTGGTGCTGCTCCGAGTCAGTTATTTTCGTACGCTGCAGAAGCTGTTCTATTGACGGAATACATGTGCTACTTCGTTTCTCGTACGTGAAGAAATATATCTTCGAGATTGAGTGATTGTCGTAATCACGTCCTTGCCTAATCTGACCTGATGGCTATGCCCATGATGTAGGCGCTGGCCGTGAATAGATGTTGCGAGCCATGCAACTGCGAAGTGTCTCGTCAGCGCGACCGTTTTCCCGAGCTCGTCTGGTTCTCTCTCAACGGCCTTTTTAGAGGCGTATCCTGTCGGATGGGCCGGTGAGTTCTCTCCCTCCTTCGCGCGAAAGTGGCTGGTGTTTCTGATCGAGACAGGGCTTAACAGCGGTCGTTGATCTTTCGCTGTGCCCAATCTGGCAGCTATCGACCCAAGCCTCTTCTGTCTGCTGCCACAGCTCGAGCTCGCGAATATCCTCTCCCCCTCTCTCGTTCCTGCGGGTTTTCTGTTCCCCCTTACTCCGGGCCTGATCCCTGCTGAACTCGCCGAAAATCTAGAGCTGGACGCGCTTTAGTTGGTCTGGACCCTGACGGAGTTAACGACCCGCTTGAACAGGGAGACGTCCCAGTCAGTCGGCGAATCCCCGAGCCTTCTCCTTGCATCCTAGAGACTGCTCGCAACTCCCAGGCTACAGAGGTCGGCTCGCGACTCTGCCCTGTAGTTTCACACGTTACATGAATAGCAAGCCGCCTCATAACTGGCAAAGCTCTACCGACGGCACAGTGTCTCCAACATTGGCGAGCTCTTCTGTCTTCATGTCGAGGCGTCGTTCCGCAGCCGTCCCCCCGCCTGGCCCACCTCCGACTCAGCCCATACCGCATCTCCCGCCTACACATCCCTACGACACGTACGACGACATGGCTGTATACAACGGTGGGGTCTCGGACGTGGAAAGCTACGGCTCGCATTCTCCTACACAGTCATACGCGCGACCGAGTGCATCTGCGAACTTGGCTGCAGTAGCAGCCTTCTCTCAGAACCGTCATGCAACCTACGCGTCGAGCGCTGCATCTTCGTCCGTCGATAATCTCTCAGACTCACCACCCCCGTCACGCCTACGGTCCGGTGCCAAGTCCCCTACAACAAATGACATTGTCCCTGATCGCTTACTCCTGTCGCCTTCTGAGCCTCGTACTTCGGAGCCGCGCCCACCATCATCCAGACGAGCCCTTACCAAAGCGCTCGAGCTGGCACGAGAAGCTGTGAAGCTCGATTCCACGAATGATGATCCGTATGGCGCCGTCATCGCGTATGGGAAGAGCGTAGCGTTACTCAGCGAGGTTATGGAGAGGGTAATGAGGGGCGAGGACAGCACAGAGCGGCGAAAGAATGGCCGTCGAAGAAGCGTAGTCGCGCAAGAAGAGGAAGTGCGACGGCTTAAGTCTATTGTGAGTATCTAGTAATTGTCGTGCTTTTGAGGAGCTCAACGCCTCTGATCGCTCTTTACAACCATAGCACGATACATATGCGGATCGAATGAATATTCTGAGTCTGATCTACAGTATTCCGTTGCCTACGACCTCGCCACCATCAACATACGCTTCGTCGTCTGTGTCAGTGTCAACTGCGTCCACCACTCCGTCGTCCCCTACATCGACTTCACCTACGTCCGAATCCTCGCACTCTTCAAGATACACCAATGAGTATTCGGACGACGGCCGCAGTTCATCGGACATACCTAGGATCGACCTAGCCAACAATTCAGACGACTTGCTTGCCATAGGAACTGCCATGTTCGCAATGGATATCTCTACTTCCTCAGGTGGTTTCTCCCCTCGAACCCCAGTGGGGCCGTCCGTCCATCCTTACGCCGCCTCGAGTTCACCTTCTTCGTCCAGAGTGTCTGTGGTGACCCCTTCGCGACCGCCAGTTGGCAGACCCAGAGCGTCCTCTTCTCTTCCACCGGCTGCTCCGCCACCAACGACGATGCCGCCACCTGCACCCACGCCCGCTTCTACAGCCACGGAACCACAGGCACACGCGGGGGCGCTTAGACCGCCAGAACTGCGAGGCAGACCACGCGCGGCCTCCATTACTCATAGAAGAAACGGTTCTTATGGCAGGCTAGCGTCACTACAAGAGGAAACTTCTGAGAAGCTCGAGGACAGACCTGTGCCAACGCGTTCGGACAGCCTTGACACGTCGCATTCGGGTGGCTCAGCACGACACTCTGTAGAAGATACTCATCCTTTACCGTCTTTGCCTTCACCAAGCTCTCAAGGTGCCAACGGGATAAACACCCAGCCTAACAGTCCCACTGTGCTCAGCCAAAGACCTCGCGGGGCCTCTACATTCTCTGTGCGATCCGAGGTGCAGATAACTAGCCCTATAATTAACGCTTCGACAGCTATGGGTGCGATCTCGCAACGGAGGACCAAAACTTCTGTGACTTCATCGATGAGTACATCGTCGGAGTCCGACATGTCGTCCGTGACGTCGTCGTTGCCAAGCAGCAGTGTCGTAAGCCTTTCTGGCCGTAGTCGTGCTTCGTCGCAGCCCCCGCGACCATTGCTAGCCACTGCAAAGTCGTATCCTGCCCCACTTTCCGCATTGCCAGGCGGCCAGCCACGAAAGGTGTCCATACCGTCCAGGTTAAATCCGAACGCGCCGCCACAGATTACGATCAATACTGCACTTCTGTCCCCGCCGCTTTCAAAGGCAGCCGTAGCACCTCTCGTCCCACCACCCCCAGTGCCACATGGTAGCATACCTGTTGCACCTCAGTCGCCACTACCGCCCAGTGCGCCACATGACCCGCTTCGGAAGCCTTACCACATGATGACCCTTCTCCGTCAAACAATGACCTCGAAAACCGGCGGCTATATTACCCGCCGGTTGCATGTACCGCAGGAGGTCTGGTCGCAAGGCGGTGCGAAGCTCACGAATATTCCCGAAAAGATTCGCGTCGTCGAGGTTCTCTGTTCCGCGCTGGAGGACATCCAAAGCTGGAGCGTTGAGTATTTTGGTGCCGGAAATGTGAGCAACGGCATGGGCATGGGAATCGGCAGCATCGGGAAAAAGGAGGCTGAGGCCTGGGCGAGCAAGCTGGAAGAGTTCTTAGTGGTATGCGACGGTGTTGTGGGTAACTTCGGCAAGAAGCTCGGTGTCGGCGAGGGCTTCGTGACGAAAAAGAGCAGCGGAGTGAGTTGGACATCGCCTGTTGTATCAATCTATGCTCATTTCGTAGAAGGTCACATCATGGGGAGGCAAGCTGACACGTCAGCTCGACAAACTCACCAATGGGAAGAAGTACGTGTCCGATAAGCTTGTGACAAATATGGTCTCATGGGGTTTTTCTAGCTTGGACTCCCCTGCTACCTACGTCCAAGGGCTGGCCAAACTCTTCAACCAGGCACAAATACTGGATGAACACACGAAGGCAGTCTGCTGTCAGCCGATCGCGCCTTTATACGCGGCGTTCCCACCGGAGTACCGGACGGGGTCCGAGATGAAGCTCAGGCGCGCCTCAGAGTTCTTCGCGAAGGTCGTCCTCACGTTTGTCATCCGCGACATGGCGCTCCTGCTGGACAAGTACGTCAAGAAATGCGAAAAATGGCTCGCGGAATGAGACCGGCGTCGGACCTGGACTATGACCTTTTGTTCACCGCATAGCAACCTCCCCCATCGCTACCCTACCCGCAAACTCCTTGCTTTACATGCATCGAACCCATCATCACCACTTGTGGATACTCAAGCATATACTGTAATATTACTTGCTATCTCATGGTTAGACCGTCTGGAATTCTGGCTCGGTGTGTTTCTCTGTCCTTCAGCCATTTCGTCCGTTGTCTCTCGTGGCTCTTCGTTCCTGCCCCTCCTGTTGTCACCAATTTATTTCTCCCCCACTTCCCCACCTCGGTTTCGTTTTTGAGCAGTTGTCTATAACTTACGTCTCTTCGGTCGTGGTGATTGGGGTATGTATTTCATTCCGAGCAATGTAAGCTACCGGTACCTTCGCTGCTTAATCGTACATACTCAGATGTCTTCTCCTGGGGTCGGAATCAGGCTTTTGCCTCTCCCGCCATCCCTAGGTGCATGCATAATCCGGCGCAACGGCGCAAACATCCAGGTGCAATTGAAACTTAGAGGGCTGTACAGTATATATTACATCCGAGACACCTTGTATGATGCCACTGGCATTACTTATACAAAAGAATAGACTATTTGTTGTTGTTGTTGTGAAACAGAAGTCGAAAATCCTGGGGTCAATGTTTATGCTGCCGCACTGAACGATGGTGGTGACAGCTCTGGCTCTGGCGTAGGCTCTTTCCCACGCAGCCGATTAATGATCTTGAGACGAAGCACTGTCAAAGCCTATCAACCATTACCCTGGCTTCCCTAAGGACAGTGTACGTACAGAGGTCAAGACGTGTGTTCTCGTCCATCTCGTCTTCGGAATCTTCCAGAGGATCGTTTGTCATAATCACATGCCATGCTTCTGTAGAAGCGGCAGTTAGTAGCTGTGGCTGGTGGACGGAAGGCGTCCAAAATGTACGCACGCTCCAGCATGCTCCGGGTGCCTCCTGAAGGTGTAGGAGGGCAGTCGCGAAGGCGCTGAGGGCCCTCAAAAATTCTGGGAGGGGTATACGGCCGCTGGGTAGATGGAGGCGAGTGAGCTGGAAACAGCAGTTCGCGAGACGAGCTGGGGTCTTTGTATTCTTCATATGAAGAGACATAGCGCAGAGGTGGCAGTGTAGAATCGCGGTGCGGCGTACGTGGGTGGTTACGTATGGGTCCACCGTGGAACGATTGGTGTGCTGCCGGGTGGGAGCTCAGCCTGCGATTATAATCGTAACGGGAGTCGCCGTAGAGGTGGCTACCCGCGGCAGAATGGTGGTAGGCATGCACTGGAGGTGGTAGAGGCGGAGGAGAGGGGTTGGGCGGGTGGATGGGCGGGAGACGATAGGGTTCGGCCGAGTATCGATAGTGGGCTGTGCGGTGCAGCTCTGTGGGACAAATTGATTAACGGGGAAATGATGATCCACTAGGGTGGGCTCACCGTCCGGCGCATTATCTGCGTCATAAATGCGACCTGACGAGTTGGAACTGTCAGGCGACGATCCTTGCCTACTCAAAGCCTTTGACGAAGCTTTCATCGACAATCGGGACGTCTGCGCCTTGCCTCTGCGCACGCCCCGACCTCGACTTCGACCGCCACGCTTACCACCTCGCTCTTTCTGAATTTCTTCGTCCTGAGTCTCGTCGAGCTTGTCGAGCTTGTCCTTGTTCTCCATAAAGATCTTCCGTTGGGCTGTCATCTTCTCGCCCCATTCCTTTTCTTCAGGAGTATCCACATTTTCCAGTGCAGCTTCTTCAGCAGACAGGAATTCCAACGGGGGTATTATACCCGGCTTCTTGTGAGACTTCGGGGCGTCAAAAGGATTGGGCGTTGTGCCCTCGTAGTAATGGTGGCACAGCCATAACAAAGCACGAGCCCGGGACTCCGAGGAGACGTTCACAGGCGAGAAGAAGTCCAGGAAATCTAGTTCCGTGTCTGAGGTGAAATGTGTTTGGGATATGAGCTACCTAAATGTCAGCAGATGGCTTTCACGTCGTTAAACCGTACTGCTCACTGGGGCGTGGCTGGAAAATATAAATATAAGGTTAACGATAGTGGTGGGAGGCACGATTCCCGATCTCTGCGTTAATGATGCATAAGCGCTGTTTGTGCCAGGCAATGTTCGGCACATACGGATCGATTCAGAATTTCCGAAGGCGTGGTAGGTCTATTCTGAAGCTCCGTGGGGAGGAGGCAAGACTTGAGGATATTCTTTATCCGAGGCGCGTCCTGAAGATTCCCGTCGGTCTTCTGGAGAGATGGTACCGGGTGGTAGGTCCTCAAGGCTGTACGCATCTCGGGGAAGACTGCGAACGAAAATTATGAACCCCATGCAAGATGCGAGTAGGTATGTGTGCGGGTCAGCAGGCGAGCCAGGCACCTCTAGGCTCGGCCCCAGAGACTGGTACAGCGAATGGCGCTCGAGGCGGCGTCCGCTCATCGATGGGGGGAAAGACTTACAGGCCATAGTGGTGTTGATACGACCAACATTGGACAATATAGATATCTTGGCAAATTCGTCCGCAAAGCTTGCGTTATCTTGCAGCTTGTCGCGGGACACCTTCGAACATCGTGACGAATGCAGGAGGGTATTCACGTAGAGGTCGCGGAAAGTGACCTTAGTGCCAGCTGGTTCGCCATGGAGGGTTGGGTAAGGGTCGGTAAAGACGTTGCGGGAGTCGGAGAAGAGATAATAAAGGAGGTCATATTGTAGATCTACTCGAGTGAGGGGCTCGCCATCCTGGTGCTTGACCGCGAGCGTCTTTCGGTGAGTGCCCTGCAGGCTATTCGGCGGTGAAAATCAGGAGAGGACGTGTAGAAGACAGGCGCACCCTGCGGACGGCATTGACTGGGGAAAGGAGTGGCAGGAAAGGACAGAGCTGTTTGGGAGACGACCCGCCTGAAGAGCGCAGGTCGGAATCGTTCTTTCGTGGCAAGCAGCCGGATTTGGGCCTGCATCTGCCCGATTCGATCTCGTAGCCTGCAGGCAAGTCACGCAGACAAGCAACATCTGATGTTCCCCGTCACGTCACGCCTGACTGCGTCGCGGCGCGACAGAGCAGCAAGCGGGTACGACCTTTCGACGATGCCTTTGACAACGACAGAACAGTTCGTTCCCCTAGCTTGTCGTCGTATAAATCACAAAGACCAAAACCGCATGCCTGACTCGTCGTCGCCAGTTGCACTTCAGACGATGTCGTATCCACTCATGGGCGTGTCATAGGATTAATATTGGCCGTGGTGGAGTCTATTCGCCGTTCTCAAGCACATATATGCACCTCGTCATATTCTCTTGCTCCTCACACACAACAACATGCCAGTTTCAGACAGCACTGCTTCAGACATGCTCAAGAGGTCCCTTCGACCGCTAGCGTTCGCCCGCTCAGCCTATGACCCAATGGTAAGGGCCGTCGGTATGTGCATGCGTCTACAGGTACCAACAGCGCCCGGACCCGTGCTAAGCATGACGGATGTAGGAAATGCGCAGATTGTGCTTATCGGAGACGGGTCGCACGGGACATATGAGTTCTATGCTCACCGTGCAAACATCACGCAGAGGCTTATTGAGGAGAAGGGTTTCGTGGCGGTGGCGGTGGAAGCAGACTGGCCGGATGCATTCCGCATCAACAGGTACGTACGCCACTTGTTATTTCGCACACAACTAACGGGACGTAGATACATTCATGGCGGTGACCTTAAAGGGCAAGGTGTCAAGAATGCTCGCGACGCTATGAAAGACTTCGAGAGGTGGGCCCTATTGTTAACACATCCCCGACGTCCAACGAGTGTCCTGCAAATAGGTTCCCAAAATGGATGTGGAAGAACGAAGTTATGCCTGGGTTTGTGCAATACCTGCGACATCGCAACGACTCCGTCATGCAAAAGGCTGGAGATTATTCGGCGAAAGTCTCTTTCTTCGGACTAGATTTATACTCGCTGCACCGTTCGGCGGAAGAAGTCCTCCGTTATCTGAACAGAATCGACCCTGAAGGTGCCAGGGCAGCGCGTAAGAGGTGTGTGCGCTATTGATATATGAGCAAGGACGAGTCTCATGTTACTCGAGATACAATTGCTTCGAGCGGTTCGGCGAAGATACAACACATTACGCTCTTGAAGCTCAATTTGGCCTTGCAAAGACCTGCCATAAGGAGGTGATCCAGAATTTGCAGAGCCTCCTGCGCAACCACCAGCGGTACATAGAAGAGCAGCTTTCTATACAAGAGCGTGGTATTGGCACTCATCCCGCCGAAGAGCAATTCGTGGCTGAGATGAACGCGCTGCTCGTCAAGGATGCCGAAGAATACTATCGGACAATGATGGAAGAGGACACCGTCAGCTGGAATCTCAGGTCTGTCGATTAGGCGTAGTTAAGGGGATGTGACTCAGTACCGCGCTTGCCAGAGATGATCACTTCGCTCGCGTTGTTGTTGATATTGCCCATCATCTAGGAAGACGCAACGCGGATGCGAAGATTGTCGTTTGGGCTCATAACTCACACATCGGTGATGCCAGGGCAACGGATATGGGACGAAGGAGAGGTGAGCAGCAGTATCTATTTGACATGTCAGCCTGTTTGACATACTTGTCATAGGCGAGATCAACATCGGCCAGCGCTGTAGGGAGATTTTCGGCGGCGATAATGTCTTCAATCTTGGTTTCTTGACAGGCAATGGCACAGGTGAGCATATTGCACGGCTTGTGCCCTACCCTGTGACACAAATGTGGCTTCAGTGACTGCAGCATATAACTGGGATGAACCGGCGAGGCTCATGGCCATGAACCCACCACTGCAGGGATCAATCGAGCAGATCTTAAACGATGCGGCAGACACGGACGCCTTCTTGGTAATGAACGAAGTGCACGGAGAGGATGTAGGTAAGACGAAGAAGGTCGAAGTCTCGCCGGACCTTAGCGAGTAAGGATGTAAGATCCATTTTTTCAACAATTAGCGTAATGACGCTTTTTCACAGCTTTCTGAACCGACCGCGGTACCAACGTTTCATTGGTGTCATACACCGGAAAATGACAGAGATCCCTTCGCACTACTCTCGATGCAGCCTTGCCGACCAATACGACGCTGTGGCGGTACTTAAACAATCGCGCGGAATTCAGCCTCTGGAGAGAGAAGACATTTGGAAGGGGTATCACAAGGGCGAGATCGATGAGACGTTCCCATTTGGATACTAGCCGCATACCTATCTAATCAGCTGTATCATAAAGCTGTATCCGTGACGCAGAATCGAGTACGACCAGAAGCATTGACAAATGTCGCACGTACATATACGTTAGGCGTCTTGATCGTCAACACTACTCGATGTCAATATTACCAACGGCACATAACTTTACAGCACTGAATTGGCCAGTTGCTTTACCTCGCAAGCAGGATACGGGGTCACCTAGTCGCTGTTAGGTGCCCATATTAGTTCTGCCGGTAGCCACTTCGAGGCTCACGCTTCACTTCAGTCAATGCAGTGATACATCGTGTAGTTGCGGGTCTTCATCATTCGTACAGAAGTACAGAACGATTTGTCTCGTCATGAGTTGCGCAGGCCCGATGCTTCATGAGCAGTGTCAGTTCCCAACTGGTTGATGCTGGCAGCTAGACTGAATATCGGTATGCACTCCCGGATTATTTTTTGATGGCCTCAACGACTCACCCCTCGTCTCTAATCTTTAAAGACATACGTTCTGGCTCCTTGTCCTTCCTCTTGTCGTTAACATGAGCCTCGGAGGGAGTAGAGATCGACGCTCTCCAGGGAGATCCTCATGTCTCCAGATGTCGATCGTACTAAATCGCTCCCAAAATCTTCGTTGCTACGCTAAGAACCGTCTAGATGTACATCGCTATGGATGGTAGAATGCGAGGCGACAGGTAATGGATCGATCGCCACGTGCACAACCAGCATCTATGCCCGCGACGCAGCCGGTAGCTGAGCACAATCCCTTCGTCGAAGAGCTGCTCGAGCGGCTTTCCTTAGCACTCCTAGGCTCATTCCCGCTTAAGACAACGAATACAGATAGGGTCTCTCGGCAGCCAGTCATGTCACTAGTGTTCCATTCGCTCATGAAGATCCAGACAACAGGACCCGTTGACAAGCGTCGCGTTAGTCTCCTGAAGGGGACAAACAGTAATCTGATGCATATTGCTACGTATACCTTACGCTATTAACAAGGAGTATTATGGGGACTGTAATTAATGGACCCAAAGTGCGGAATGGTATATAACACAAGAGCTCGGTATCCAACATGGTATGTGAAGAATGAAGGTATCTATACAAGGTACAGTGAATTGGATTGCGAAGGATTGGACAAACGAATACGCCCACAGCGATCCGAATATGAATGATAGGTAAATAATCCAACATAAAAAAATTGAACCAGCAGAAGAATCGAACGATGGCCGCGGGATGAGTCTAGTCTACAGCATGGTCAGCATTCATGATCAGAAGAAATCGAATCGGGACAAACCTGGTCGCCAGCACTCAGCGATGTACTCCAAAACTTCTATGACAACCGCGCTTTTGAACATGAGAGCGTGGTCCGCGCCCTTCACGACCTGGACCTGGCACTTATCGCGGCCCATGGTGCTCCCCATCCACCGCACGGCGTTCTCTGCGATACGCTCGTCCCGATCACCGTACCAGACACGCACAGAGTGCGGGTACGCAGAGTATGAGAATCCCCATGGCTGTCGGTCGTGGTTGAGAATTTGCAAGAGATCGCCATGAGTGCCCTTCGCAGACTCCGCATGCGATGCTGCGATGAGCGCGTTGCCGAGCTGCGCTTGGTAGGAAGAGCCAGGCGTCGGGGGCGCTTCCGACTGTGGCGAACTTGGGACTGTGGGAAGTGGTGGAACAGGCGGGACGTTCGGTAGGGGAGACTTCGACGTGTTTACGCCGAAAGACATGGATCTACGGCCAGTAGATCGAGATCCTTCGATATGCAAGTCAAAGGAAGACTCGGCGCCCAGCGACCTCACTGACTTAGTCCTCGCAACCGGTGATGTGGCCTTAATTGCCGCATCCCAGTCCACGTCCTCGAGACCAAGGCCGACTTCCGACGTTCGGGGCGACTGTATGGGCGTCCAGGCCGAAGGAGCCGTTGAGCTTCTCTTGGAACTAAGCGAAGGGCTTGTATCGTTCGAACGACCTTTAAGAGATCCCATAGATCGCAAAGCCTTCAGTCTTTTGCCAGCACCAGTCGGCTGCAGCACACCCGCGGGGCTTGTTGGCTGCGTGTTCGCGCCGCGCGCCAAGCGTCCAAGTATGCCCTTCGATGTTTTCTTGGTGACCGATTGCCACGTAGATTTGCTCTCACTGAGCGTTCGTTGACGACCAGAGCTGACGCTAGGCCTACTCAGGGTGGCCGTACTCTCGAACCTACCCTCAAAGTCACGGAGGTCGTCGTAGTCACTGAACCCGCTAGAGGACGCAGCTTCTCGCTAAGTCACCGGCCCTTGATGGCGTGGATGAGGACGGTGATCTGGTTTCACGGTCTTCGGTCGACACCATCGCTGAAGAAGTAAGGCGGACCATCCGCGCCCAGACGAAGTCTCCTATCAGCTCTCGCAATCAGTCGCGCACTCGCACCACACTCTCGAAAGCGCAGGCTGCTGGTACGGATCATCCTAGAAGCCCGCTTTCTGATTCTGCTAGGGACTCTTCTACATATAGCCGTCCCGAAGACCTCGATTCTGCGATACCAGCTCCTCTCGATTTGTCGAGCCTCGCCAAATCTTCCGTCGACCCGCCTTCCCAAGCTATCGCCCAGTATCTACGCTCGAGCCGGCTGACAACAGTGCTGAGGCTCACTCGCGGTCCACACGCTTCGCGAGAGTCACCTCTGAACGTCAGCTTGTCTGACCTGGGTAGCGCTACTGGCGTTCCTCTCGTTGTCTTTCTGGGCTTGGGATGCGTGAGACATATCATGGGTCTCTACGATGAGATGGCGGAGCTCTTGGGGGTACGCCTCATTACTGTCGACCGGTATGTACTCTTGATGTGTTTCTGCTCGGCTACTGAAAGCGGTGGCATAATTCAGGTGGGGTCTTGGGCGAACGGATTCCCCGCGTAATAGGCTTGCCAAAGGCATTCCGGAGTGGGCATCTGTGGTTGAGGAGGTTCTTGACCGCCTCAACATCGACCAATGCAGCGTCATGGCGCATTCAGCCGGTGCGCCGTACGCGCTTGCCTTCGCCAACCGCTTCCCGGAGCGTATTCGGGGCGACGTCTGTTTGCTTGCCCCTTGGGTAGGTGGCGGCGAAGGTGGTCAGTATCAATCGATCTTGTTGTCTTGGCACCAGACTTATCACGATTCGGTAGCTGGTTACAAGTGGCTAAAGTATGTGCCAAACGGCATTCTGAAAACCGCGCAGGCTGCGGAATGGAAAGTCCAAGCCTGGATGCTTGGCAAGCCTCCGTCACTGGCCTACGAGGGTATCGGTTTCGAGGCGCAACCACCACCCAAGCCTTCAAGGGGTATTGAGCACCTAGCCTCTCCCACATCTACACGGATGGGATCCGCGAAGTCTTCGTCCTCCCAGGACGTGGAAAGGCGAAGTGTGGGCTAGATTTTGGCTTCAGGTCGGCAGTGGAATACACGGTGAGGGGTCGTGTCCGCGCCTGCTCTAACGCGGGAGCATGCGTGCGGATAATATCCGATATGGAGGGCGCCATGGACTGCTTGACTGGCTCAATCTCTCGCGGAATTTCCTCGGTGGACGAGCTGGGGTATAGAGAAGTGTCGCCTTTGGGATTGAGCGAACCAAAGCTCGAGGACGTTGAGATCTTTGGCATAGTGAAAGTAGGGTTCCGCGTGATGGGTGTGGAAGACGGTGTGCGCGAAGTAGTGCTCAACGCATCCGTACGAGAAGATCGAGAGTGCTTCTCACGGGCTTTGCGGCGCCTTGGAGATGAAGGCTGGCTCTTCTCATCTTCTGAGTCGGATCCGCTCTTTTTTCGCGTCGTTCGCGGCAAGCCTCCTCCAAGCATAACTCCTGGCGGAGGTGTTGGCAATGGTGGGTGGTACAATGGGTGGTAGCCGGTGCTTTTATGATGAGATCGGACAGAGAGACTGTTGAAGGTATAGTGGTCGTCGTCGCTGGAGCCATTCATGCCGTCCACCAAAGCGTCCATGGTCTCTACTCCCGAAACGGGAGCCGCCACCACGTCTGGAGAGGTATAAACTTGTTCTTTGAACGAGTAGTCATCTATGGGAGTCTGCGGTAACGGATCGAGACGGCTCAGGGTGGAGGATCCAGAGTCGCGGTAGGGATAGTTCAGAGACCTGGGATAAGCATAGTCCCACGGCCCGTGCGAAGATCCGCTGGTCGTCGGCGAGCGAACTTCAGCGTCTTCAAACTCCATGACTGGCCAGGGAACGCAGTCGTGGGTCTCTCGCGCAGAGTCTCGGTGAGGCCTGTCTTTGCTTTTGCCAGAGCTCCGTAAGTCCTTCGCAGATGGAGCGTTTTTGCTCATCGAAGATGACCGCTGTTTCTTGGGCTTGTATGGTCCGGATATGGTAGGCTGGTCCGGGACCTCAAAGTCGCAAGGGCGGGACGATGACGGCAAGGCGCTGTTGCTTGTCCTGGGGCAGCTCCGTCCTGCATGTGAAACGTCCGGCTGAGGCGAGGCAGTATGGGTGTCAGCTAGACGTCTATCTCGCTTAAGCGAAAGGAAAGAGGCTTTTCTCGCAGGTCTGTGTGGATATTCGCTCGTGTCCTGGGTCAGTGAAGAACGCGTCGATGTAGCCATGGCAGGGTGATGGTGTAGAGTCCAGGAGTGGTAACGAGTGATTTGTATCCAAACGAATGGCAGTGTCCAGAAAACTAAAGATCTCGGTAGAGGTGCATAGACAGTTCACCCCCAGAGCTTGCGCCGACGTGCCCGTCGTCGTTCAAGACGGTGAGTGGAAAGTGAGAGGCGCTGGCTCGTTTCCAAACCCTTCCCACGGAGCGCCCGCATGGCTACTAATTCATTCTTCAGCGCGGCGTAAATACGTAGGACGTCAGCAGCCGCCAGATTGTCCAGAAGTACTATACAGAACATGATACAGTGCAGAGACAGGAGACTTTGAGCTATATGTGATGCATGGCGAAAACAGAGCTTGAGAAACAAAATCGTGAGACGCATAGACATATTATAAGGCGAAGAGAGATGATGTGTAGTATAAGGATATCATTTGAGTGCGGAAGGTATCAATGTGCACAAGACCAAGGATGGGATGAAAAAACGCTAGTGGATCATCAGTACCGACGTCTCTGAAGTATAGTATAACGGAGAAGACTCACAATGATATGCATCTTAGCATTACAGGTATAAGAGACTGATGTTCCGTGCAGCACAAGCAGACTTCAGCTGGCAACACGTTTCTTCTGACCACTTGCGGAATCCCGAAGGAGGTTGGTTGTGGCCTGAAGAAGTCTGGAGGACACGCAAAGATGGTAAAACTCCCGAATGGAGGAGCTCTATCCAGTCCTGCCCGTGGAGCTGCGGTGCCCGACCAAGCACCGAGAGTTGTATCAGGGCGCGACACGCCCCGGCAATGAAGGACAGAGTCTGAAGGTTAAGGTCAACGTCAAAGAGACGCAGATCGCGAATGGTGGATAAAGCGGGTAGGTCGCGCTCGAACAGCCCGCCGTTCGCGGCGGCCCCGCAAGCTTCGTAGTTCAACGACTCCAATTGCTCGCAGCATTCCAGCAGTGGGAGCGCCAGGTCCTGTACGCTTTGCGGACTCGATGATGAGATGCTAAGATGTCGCAGGGATGCCCACGAGCCGAAGAACAAATCCTCAATTGACCCGGACTCCATGGATACGTCTTCCAAGACGAGCTTCCGTACGCGTAGAGGTGAAGGCATGTCGGAAGGGGTGATGTCAAGATGGAGATGTGTGAGGCGCAGTGTCCTTAACGACCGTGTGAAGCGGAAAGCGATGGAGTCGTCCCAGTCGAGAGAGGCAGCACATCGGCAAGCCATGTCTCCATTGTCTTGAGACATGTAGCTACCATCGATGTGGAGGGAGGTTATTGAATGAGTGTGACCGATCATCTGGATGAACCTCTCTGCACGGACCGCGAGCTCTCCACCCAACGTCACAGTCTGCAAACCTTTGAGATTCAGGACGAACCTCACGCTCGTCATGTCCGTCTCGGTCAGTACTACGCTCCGTGTGAGGGTTGGGCGGAGGTCTATGCCGTGTATGAGGGGCAGCAAGTGAAGATTTGCGGATACTGTCCTGGCGAACAGCGTGCAGGCGTGGAACGAGTCCAGCTTAGGACACGCGTACAGGCGTCGCCTAATAGGCCCAACCCAAGCTGGCGAAACGAGAGCAAGGCGAGAAAGATCCCTTGGCCACCAATGGTCGTCGCTCTCGAGGATGACGGGAATTAAGTCGTCCACGATGCGCGGGGACATGTTGACGTTACCAGGGCTGCGGCAGGGCGAGGCATGGTCCGTCGCCGCTGCATCGTAGCTCGCTCGCGATGTCAGCCCGGTGAAGTTTGGTGTCTGTAGGAGAGAGAACATGTTTCAAGGTGTGGGCACGATGTTGGGGAGGTCAGAAAGTGCTGACAGTGGCAGCCAGCTGTCAGTTGCATGGCCTGTCCCGCAAGCAGTGCACGCGCTGGTCCTGTTAGACATGTGATCATGTGATCCCTTCTCCCGAAATGGCGTCTCGCGGCATTTGCCGGAGATCGGCTATCAAACCATGCCTGAAGGGCACCGGCGGTGCCGATAGTATAAGGTTTCTAATTCGACTCGGACTTCAAGTACTTGCAGTTGACTAGAGGGTTACCGTTACACAGAAGACGACGCGCGAAGGCAAGAAAACATAACTTGCTCTCTCATATCGAGGCTCGAAATCTCGCCAACGTTGTAGTGCCTCCAGATACTGTGCCTAGATACCCTCATACCATCCGATCATGAAGGCGTGTATTGTCCAGTTTCCTCGCTATAGCGTCGTAGGTGAGAATGCTAGATCGACTGTATAGCAAGTTCCATGCACTCATGGCTCGACTCATGAGCTCTCCCATGACGCTCAAGGCCAGAGAGCTCACGAAAGGCCACGGCATGCGCCAACAAGACGGCGCGCTGATAGCACGCTGTTTGTACCTCGCACTGCTCTCACAATGATTTGAAGTTCCGGTACAAGTTCATCGAACATATCGATTCACAGAAATGATGCCTCCGTGTAGATGCTCTGCTCGTCCAGCCAGACGGTGGCAAAGAAAAACGCAAGGGCAGAAACGCAAGGGCAGGAACGCTGATCGTGAGGCTGCGAGCCCTTAGACCTTAGGCCTTAGGTTCGGAACTGCCGAAAGCCTTCTGACGCAGTCTAGCAAAGTCCATGGAATAGATCAGTGAACCACAGACGCTCGAAAACCGCAAGGCACATCAGCATTGAGCTCCGGGAGCTCTCACGACCTCCTCGTTCTCTAGTCGACCTGGTTCTCTGTCGTGAGCACTCAACCCACCTCGAGTGCAAATTACGGCCAAAAGTCGCTTATCGAGACTCGCGCAGCACATTGCTATATTGGGGCGTGCGATAGCAATCCATGTGGGTTTTGTCGTTTGAGCCACATCGCGAGACACCGTGGTTATAATTCACCCGGGGACTTTAAAGCCCCGGTTGCGATAGCGCAGAGATTCTTCCGCAGGGTTGCTGCCTTGCGATTCCCTCCCCCGTGACGGTGTCCATATCGAACGAGACAATGCTCGATAAATCGGAGGCTGATGCCACTTATGACGATAAATCTAGTACGCACGGGAAGAGCCAAGGCGTGTCCAACAATGTGGACCCTAACGAGCGCGCCAAGAGTAAGGATGTGTTCAACGATGACGATGGCCACGATATCCAGTACAAGACTCTCAGCTGGCAGGTACGGCCGTGAATACTATCCTTTATCCTATCGTCGCTGAAGCCATAGGCAGTTTACGGCTCTATTGATGATCTCGGAGATTGTCAGTAATGGGATGTTATCTCTTCCTAATGCTATGGCGGCAGTTGGTACGAGACTGCCGGCTTCATTCAACCAATATTACTGAATGTTGGTGTCCAGGAATTGTTCCCGCGTTGATATTGACGATATTCTTGGGTATATTCGGATTGTTTACCGCAAAGCTACTGATCGACTTCAAGCTCAATCATCCGGGGGTTCACAGCATGGGTAAGTTGATGTTTTGATAGAAGTCTTCCTCGTCTCATGGTCTCGCTCTGTTTAGGTGACGCTGGCTACATCTTGTTCGGACCTGTTGGCAGAGAAATTTTGTCCGCAGGCACCGTTGTCTTCGCGATTTTTGCCGCCGTTAGTGCGCCGTCTTGACGGCATATCAATGACACTACTGACACCAAGTAGGGTTCAGAGCTGCTATCGGGCCAGCAGGCCCTCTCCACGCTGTCCGACAATGGCCTTTGCGCAGTCTTTCTTGTCATTATCTTCGCCGGCGCAACATTTCTGGCCGCTCTTCCCCGTACGCTTGGACAGCTCGGCTGGCTTGGCTTTGGCAGCGCCGCATTAATATTTCTATGCGGGATCTTGACTATGATTGGAGCGGGTCGCAACCCTGTCCCAGACCGTGTTGTTCAAGCAACCATACCGACGACCTTCTTCGAGGCATTCTTAGCTGTTACTGGACCAGTAAGCAGCTCATGTCCTCTGTTGTGATTCTATATCTGAGTTTTGTACAGGTATTTGCATATGCAGGTATGCTCATCTCCCGCAAGCTGTTGACGGATGAGAGTGTAATTGACCATGATTCTGTAGGACATTTTATGTCAGTTTGCTTGTGACAATAACAACGCTCTATAGAGGATGCTAAGTGTAGTCAAAGGTTCTTTATTCTTATCTCAGAGATGCGTAGACCACAAGATGCGATGAAGGCAAGTGGCAGATGAAGCAAACAGGCGTGAAGGCGTGCTGACTTTTTCATCAGGCAGCGTGGTGCCTCCAAGGATTTGCGACGGTATTTTACAGCGTGTTCAGTGTGGTTGTCTACGTGTACATTGGGAGCACAGTGGCCTCGCCTGCTCTCTTCTCGCTACCTCCGAAATGGGCAAAGGCTGCCTTCGGCATTGGGCTGGGCAACTTCTTGATGTATGTGGTCCTTCCACCACCTATTGTCTATCACGAGATAATGACACCACTTTCCAGAAGCGGAGCCCTCTATGTACACACTGCCGCGAAGCTCGTCTTCATCCGTCTCTTCCGTCACACGCGCCACGTCTATTCTCACACCGCGCAAGGATGGGCCGTGTGGCTTGTTCTCTGCCTCGTGGGCACCGCTGCTGCCTGCATCCTAGCTATCGCTGTCCCAATCTTCAGTGATCTCATTGGCATTACGGCAGCACTCTTCGCGGCGTGGTACACGTATGGTCTTGCAGGGTTCTTCTGGCTGCATGACGTCTATCATCTGAAAGGCGGTACGCAAGCTCTGAAGAGGAGGAAGTTTGGTACCACCCTGGCTGTTCTCACGATCCTTGCCGGGGCATTTATTTGTGTCGCCGGAACGTACGTCTCAATCAAGGTGCGTGCTGCTCGCGTGCTGTTATCGTTTACCCCGTGGGCTGACTTGCGCAAATACCTGCAGCTCATCGTAGATGCTTACAAGGCTGGGGCTGTTGGCAAGCCTTTTACGTGCTAGGATGCCTGCTAGATAGGCTGTACATTGTGGTGATTCTGTTGTGCCAAAAAAAATGGTTTCTCGAAAGTTTATTTTTCGCCGGCACGGGCAAGCGTTGGAGAAACAATTAAGGTACTGTAGGCGCTTACGCGCATCCGACCTGTGTGCACGTTCTCGGCTGTGCCGTCATTGAGCGCGAGGCGCGGCCGCCGCCGCCGCCGCCGCCGCCGCATGTCCCTAGCACCGCCTCCTGTCTCGTTGGCCTCTTTTCCTACGACCAGGAGCGCAGCATTTGACCAGGATGGCTGCCCCCACCGAGCTCCACACGCTGGAGATCTCCCAACGACCTCGTAAGACCTGGGCGCAGACCTTCAATGCCGTCTTATTCTTCCTCGTGTTCAACCTCGGCTGTCTCATGATTAGTGGCTTCCAGTTCGCCTGTCTCCTCCCCCTAAGGCTTCTGCCATTCCCAGAGGCGCAGAAGTGGTACGATGAGGGTATCAGATACAGTAAAGGTGCTTGTGGCACGCTACTCGGTAGGTGTATTGCTACCAGGGTAAAGCCTGCCATTGACATTACCCATCCCAGTGTTGGTAACTCAACTGTTTGCACCCGCTTCATTGGTGGTCTCTTTCGAGCGCAATGGACCCGGAGCGTTCTCCAGAGAAGAGCTTGACCGGCTCGTCGTCCGAGATGGGTCCGGAAGGGTCACTGCTTTGCAGCTGCCGCCGAAAGCGGTCTGGATCGCAAACCACCAGGTGCGTGCATCTCTAAAATGTCTATCAGTATAGCGGTAGTGACAATATGGATGGCAGATGTACGCGGATTGGTGGTACGTATGGTGTCTAACGTACTTCGCTGGATCGTACAAGGACGTGTTCATCGTTTTGAAGAAGAGTCTCAAGTGGCTGCCTATCATTGGATGGGTAAAGGCATCCCCGAGTCTATCCTACCCGAAATGCTCACGTATATACATAGGGCATGCAACTCTATAATTTTATCTTCCTGAGTCGTTCATGGGCCTCGGACCGACTGCACCTCGCCAAGTCGCTTTCATGGCTCAGTGCCCAAGCCGAGAAGCGGGATACTCCTCTTACATTCGTCTTGTACCCTGAGGGTACGCTCGTCAGCAAGCACACAAGACCGCTCAGCAAAAAGTACGCGGACAAGATGGGCTTTGTATGTTTCATTCACATATCCGCTCCGGCCGCACTCTGACCTACCTGTCATCTGTCCGTGCAGCCAGACAACCGCAACATGCTACTTCCTCGGTCAACTGGGTTACAATACTCTCTGCGAGCATTGTCTCCTCGCATTCGTAGTCTACAACTTATAGATGTCACAGTGGCGTACCCAGGTAAGTGGGTGCCGACGCAGCTGGGGACGACTCTCACCCCTCTTGCATAGGCATACCTCCTCTCGGCTATGGACAGTCATACTATACCCTTCGTTCAATCTTCATGGATGGAGTCCCACCACCCCAGGTTCACATGCACGTCCGAAAGTTTGATGTCTCGCGAGATGTTCCAATAGGCGACCTGTCCAAAGTCAACCCGTCAAAACTTCCGAATGTTTCGGGCGGCCCCATGAAAGAGTCTGCCGAGACTGACGTCCCGCAAGATGAAAAGGACAAGTTCGACAAATGGCTCCGGGAGCTCTGGACCGCGAAGGACCACGATGTGGATCGGTATCTGGACTGCGGCTCGTTCGTGAACGACCCCTCTCTGCGCGTGGAGATACCCATCGCCATCCGCCGAAAACGCGAGATCTTGGATGCCTTCTGCTTTTTCATTCCCGCTCTTCTGGGATGGATATTTTCGAGACTGAAGTAGAGGACAAGTGGAGGGGCCCAGAATGTATTTTCTGATACCAATGTACTCGGATCGCTTGACATACGTCGCTTTTTGTATTCATGCACCTGTACTCATCTCTAGCAAATGAATCTTCATTTCTGCGGAGCTGTCCAAAATGGTCTGTGCGATTTGAACTTCCTCGGGCACTTCAGGGAGACGCGAGGCGTCGCTCGGGATGTTCAATGTTGAGCGACCCGGGCACAGCCGAGAGATGCAGTGTCGGGCACAGGACACTGGTAGCCGGATATCAGAGGGTGCCTGCTCCTGACTGGAGGCGCTGCTGCTCAATCCTATTGACCAGGAAAAGGCTAGTGTCGAGGAAGCGTTCGACGCAGTTGGCGAGGCAACTTGACTCTGATCGCGAGAAGCTGTTACCCGGGGTGCCAGTAATGCACCTGCCGTAAGGAAAAGATGAGTAAACGACGGAGTGGTCGTAAGCATTGTCACGCACTTGTCCCAGCACATGCTGGTAAAGTTGTGGATGCTTGCATTAAGCCGCTGCTGTGCTTGCTCGTTCTCGACAAACGTTTGGATTTCTTTCTGGACACAGGGAACTGATCAGAAGGCGTCGAGGCTGCGGATGCCGGACACACGCACCCTTGTCGCCTCGTCCAACTGGTCAGCCATGTTTGGGAGCAGGAGGTGGTCCAGGTATGTGAGCTGGCGGGAGAGCAGAGTCTGACAGTTCAGTGTGGCACAGACCGGCGTGGGAAATGATCAGAGAGGGATCTGAGATCATGTGCTTTCTTGCATGCCTATTTTGGGTGCTGCTCGTTTGGCTGCCGTCTGCTTCTGCGAACCAGCTTCCGGTGAGTAAATCCGAGGCGCTCGAGAGTGAGAAGAGCCAGACGAGTTGGGCGACCACCGCGGCCTCGGGCTCCAGGGGATCCTCACAAGTTCTGGGCTGAGGAACCATCTCACCTTCTTCCTCCTTCCTCCTCCTTGCGATGCTGCCCGGTCTTCCACTGGAAACCAGAACCCCCCTCCGCAACACACGCGGTTTGTCATGCACAACAGCCCCTCAAGAGCTCCCAGGAGAAACTCGGGCGTCGGCCTGCGCCTTCCGCAATTAACGGACAATGTATCTGGAGCCCTTCTTATCGATGTAAGACCCGGATGCCCATCGCGAGGGTGCAGACTATCTCCGACGAGGTACGTGATTACGACGTCGTCTGGTCCCCTCTGTTTTACAACGGAACAGCAGAGGATGGCCTGCCGTGATTAGCCGCCAACTTTACGAGGTGGTATCTGCGGCATTGATTACCTATTGCACGGCACAGAGGGTCGAAAATGAACCTCTCTCGTAGGTGTCCTACTCGCTCCAGACTGTCTCGTGTCAGTGGCTGAGTTACCGGTGACGCCACCCTTGATGTCGAGCAAGAAGAATGACACACACAGGAGAAGGACATTTTAGGCCGAGCGTCATGAGGATTGGTACCGAGGCTCATCGTACGTACAAATGCCTCCCGCAGATCTCTCTGCAAGACCAGCTGGGCTTGCCGCATATTGGCCGGTAGCCCTACTCGGCCACCGTGGTTCTATTCGCTAGTGGCAGAGAAGGCCGAAGGGGAGCGAACACACATTCCCGCCGACCGGCAGCTCCCACCCGTGGCGACTTCCGCTCGAATAAGAGTCTTCTGGTCTAGCGGTGATGAGCCTCGTGGTCATGCATTACGAGGTCGGGATACAGCGCAGAGGCTACCGCGCCTGGAATGTACATTTTTAGTGAAAGACATCTGTTGAGTAGATCTGGATGGGAAATTCGCTGAGTATGTGATGCACGCGCTGCAGGGGCGACTGTGTGTTTGAGTGAGATGAAACCATGTGCACGCCCAGCAAGACCAGGAGGGAGAGCCGGCGATGTGTGCAACGGGAGTCGAACGTAGTCAGCCAATTTTGATGGCTGGTGTGCGCCTGCGGATTTGCATCCGCGAAGGTAAGAGCGGTCGGAGATCGAGATCGCTGTGGAATACTTTCAGCCACAACGGGTCCCGCAGACTGCAAACATTTTCACACCGTCGCGTCAAAGTTCCCCTCTGTCTGGGCTAGCTCAGTCTCCCTCTGCACCTGTTCCCGCCCGTCTCGCCGCCGTCTCCGACGACCAGTCTCCCACACGTTCATTTCGCGCTGCGCCACAGTTCATCTCCCAGGCCACGTCCGCCGGTACTTCTGTAGGGCCATCGATACTGTCATGAGCTGATGGGCATCAGCGTTAACCACCGTTGCTTCCAGGCTACACGTGAGTGTCCTGAAAAACAAGGATTATAGCGAACGATGCGATATAAAAGAACGTCTCCAAAGGACTCGGGCGTCTCGACAATACCGGGTCAGTACTACGGTGCCTCGTGTATCGCTCCTCTTCCCCCGTAGTCTCCTTCATGGCGTCATCCAGTTCTACAGACCCTGTCCTCACACCAACCCGTGTGCAGTCCTGGAATCCTCAGCAGGTCAACACGCCGTACGTGCTCCCCCCCCTATCCGCCGCGCTCGATTTCCCTTCACACCCCTTTCTTTATATAGACCCCAGTACCTCGGCAGAAAGACGCTGCCCATCAAGCGCGCCGACGGAGAGCCTCTCACTCGCGCAGACATTCAGTATGACCTCCTCTATTTCATCTTTGCAGACCCAAGCCGGGTCTTTGTCGACTACATGGCCCCTGGGAAACCGCATGTCAATTTTTGTGACCTCTATGTCAACGCACTCTTCAACTCCAGCAAGTGCTCCAAGGTGCTCAAGGACAAGATGGTCGATACCCCAGAGTTTGCCATCGAATTCGCCAAAATTGCGCTTTTAACAAACGTGGGCCGTATTAATACGACCATGGCTTGTGAGTAGACCGCGCCCCTCGTTCTCCCGTTGTCACCATGGAACAGGCGCTCACGCGCCCACCTCCTTAGTTTTTCATGAAATGAAGACTCCCCTCCGCAGTTACCACCCGGTTCCTTCGCTGCAGAAGTCAGACGGCAATCTGCAGGATGCTCCGCGCATCAAGAACTGTCTCAAAGCGGCCCTGCTTCCCTTCGAGTTTAAGACCCCTCCTCCAAGCACTCCCAATGAAATCCGTGAAAAGGCGGTACGTGTGTAGTCTCGCGTTCTGCCACAATAGTCTGAACAAGGCATACAGCGCGCTGGGCAGCTTCCCCCGACCAGCGTCGTGAACCTCATTTTCGTCCTTTCTAACGCACAGCATGCTATGGTAGGGCCCCCATAACCGTATTCGGGTTGTCAAATGCTCATCTGTCCACGTCGTTAAGCAAATTGCCCAGACGCACTTTGAACCACCCGTAGAGTTTCTTGACCTTTTCCTTCCCATCAACCTCTCCTCTGCCTCGCGTGCGAAGGCCTTCCTTTGGCTCGTGTACCATTATTTGTCGGCATCAGACACTCCTAACCCGTTCGATGACGACTACTCGCGTGCAAACCCAGGTAAGGTGCCGAGGATGGTCAGTCTCTCGCGCGAGGAGACGCAACGAGAGAACGTCGACCCGTCGGATGAAGTCGACTGGGGAAAGCATATGTCTTCTCTCCGGGTCAGGTTCCTGAAGGAGCTCATGGACGAGAGCGAGGCTGAGAAGCGGCGCAAACGGGACGCGCAGATGGTGCCTCCCGTCTCTTCGTCGTTCTCGGCGGCCATGTATTCAGGTAAGCGGGCTTCCATATTCGGCCAGTCCAGTATCCTCACGAGATATTTTGTCCCTAGGAGATATTACGAGCGGCCGACCCTCGCAGACTCAAGGTGCCGGTAGTTCTGGAGGCGAAGGCAGCAGGGGATCGTCGTACGGACACGAGGTTCAATCACATCCCCAAGCCATTCAGCAGCCCGTGCCTCGTCCTGCCGCTACCGTCGGGCCCCCGCAGGCAGGTGGTAAGTACCGCTAGCTGATTTCCCACCTGTTAACGCAACTCAGCGCGAACGTTTACCGCAGGATCTGGACAAGAGGATCAGTCGCAGGATCGCACTATGTTGCAGCGTCAGCAAAAATTTAACCGAGCGTCTCGCCGTTTCCACCGCCGCTGACCATCTGCCTTCCCGACAGACGCCTGGCACGTTGTACAAACGACCGATCCCCTCGCTGATTCAGACGGGGAGCAAGACGAGCACGTCAGACGGGAGTATGGTAAGTCTCACTGCTGCCATCTGCGCCGCGGCGGAACAGACCCGCTGATATCACCGCCTTACGCTCGCAGGCAAACGCCTGCGCATCTTGTCTCGTCTCCGCGGCAAGGACCCGACACCCCCGCCCGGTGGCCCGGCGCCCGGCGTGCCCCAGTATCAGAGCCAGTTTCAGGGAGCTAACCACGCGGGACCAAGCCAGGAATCGACAGGCAGGCTGCGGCAGGTAACATGGGAATGAGAGTGCAGCGAAAATGGTTGCGCACCCTTCCGTGATGAACGTGTCGGCGGAAAGCCGCGTTGAAATACATAACCCCTTCGCGCCGAGATAGAATTGCCGCTAGACATACACTGACAGCACATCTCTGAATTCTCTCACCGGTTGTCTTATCCTACACAACTTGTACGTAACGTTTGCTCTCCGTACAGGTGGCTGGACGCCTGTCGGTTGTACATATCATCCCCACGGGGCACGCGATTTACCATAGTGGCGTCATGGCGGCGTGCCTGCCGCTAAAAACTCGGCCTGCGTTGTATATTTTGCATCGTTCTTCGCTGCGCAAATTGCCATGAACCCTGGAGGCCTGGAGGCTTGGAGGCTTGGTGCTTCGTCCAGATGCCGATCAGGCACACGTAAAAATCGTGCACACTACGGACACGTTGTCTCATCTGCAGTCCGTGGGGATTGATAGAGCAAGAGGCACAGCCTGCTTACACAAGGGCGGGTAGGTACGTAGACTAGCAGCGAAAATATTTAATAGTAAAGAAAGCGTTCGCTGCATGGCCCGCATACCGCCCATTTACACGAACATAGAGGTGCGGAGAACACAAGGGAAGTCCATTGCAACCGGAACAGAGTAAATGGAGAAGAGCATATAATCCAATCCTAGAGATGTGCAGACGTTCTCTAGTAAGAGTCCATTATTCTGATGCTTGTCTGTAAATACGATATCCACGGAAGGAAGATGCTCCTTTGGTCGCCTAGAACGCGCCAGGAAGGTTAAGCCTGGGGTTCATGAATCCGATTCGCTCGCACGAAGGGAGTTCGGGAGGGGCGCTGTGGCGCCTGAGCTTGCGCTCGTCAAGCCCACCATCTCCGTTCAAGCCTTCAGGCGTCATTGTACGGCGTCGCAGGCGGATGAACATGTTTTGGGCGGTGCGCTCACGCGCTAGATCAAGAGCACGAAGGTTGTCCTCCGTAAGGTCGATAGGAGAGTGCGACGACGTGCGCGGAACGACCGTAGTCTTAATCTGCAGCTTGGGGGTGCAGGGCGAGGGAGGAAGGCGAGGGCTCGGACACTTAACCTCGGGCTTCGCAAGCTCCTCTGGCGGAGAGGCCGACCGGAGGGGAAAGTGCAGGCGTCCAACACCCGGAGGCAGGGCGGGTCGCGGCCTAGCGCTCTCAACAGCCTCTGGCTTCGCGGTCGCAACCAGCTGAAGGAAGGCTGGAAGGCGGGCGGTGCGTCTCGACCGCGGTCCGACGTCATCATGTGACACTGCCTGGTTACTGAGGTGCGCAGTAATTTGTTCGAGAGACGGCAATTTCTGCGTCCTGAAAAGCGAAGCCGAGCGTGGCGGAGGCTTGACGCAGTCCTGCTCCGGCAGGCGGAAATCGACTTGTTCAACCCAACTTTCGCGGGGCTTGGCGAGCTCCTCGTCCGCAAACGCGGTCAGAGGTGAACGCAGACCCGGAGAGGGCAATGAGTAGTGGAAGAGAGCCGGAGACTCCGGTGGAGTCTTCGGAAGCAGGGTCGAGCGAGGGGAGGGGGGCGCCTGGACCTTGGAAAGGAACAGAGCACGACGTTCGACTGCGATTGGCATGGGCTTGTTAAAGACTGCAATTGTAGCACACAAACTCGACACTTACCCTGTTTGTTCCTGTGCACCTTCAACGCTATCTCCTTGCGCAAGTCAGGCGACTTCTTGCCACCGACACTCGCGTTCCTTTCACGGGACGCTCTAAGCAGCTGCTCGAACCTCTCCCGTTCGATGCCTTTGCCGCACACGGGCACGTCCACTGGACGAAGTGGGGAGAGCTGTCTCGGGAAGCGAGGAGAGGTGGGTGGTGGGGAGAGCAGCGTGGACCTGAAACCGTCGTTGTCTTCTGGAGTGGCGGGCGTGCAAGGGGAGCCGAAGCCAGAAGTTGAGAACGGCGAGAAGGGCTCAGGGACAGGCTCTTCTGGCGAAGCGAGTGAGATGGAAATCTCAGGGACTGGAGAAAGAGCGACCATGGTTAAATGAAAAGGAAGCGGAAAGCGTGGACGAAATGGAGTGCGAGTGAACGGTTTTACAGGACAAGGTGACCAGCACCAGTAGAGGACTCAGACTAGGATGTGAACGACGTTCGGCTGAAGGAGCAGACGAAGCCGAGCTGCCCTAGAGGAGCGCAAAGACGGCGAAGAAATAAAAATGAAAACAGAGAGAGAGAAAAGACAACCAAGGTGAAACCAAGATGAGAGGGAAGACAAAGCGCTGAAATAGCGCGGCGCCCTTGCGGTCAGCTGCCATCTCTGTCCCATGCACGTAGTAACCGCGCCAACGCCCAGGCGGTATCCAGCCCGTCCTCCGCCCTGATGGCCTTGTTTTCTCCTTGTTTATCCACCAAAGAACATCCATTCGATGCACAAAACTTCATGGATACCAACCACGGCACAGCGACTCAGCTTTTCACCGTCGTCTATCTCAATCCAGGAGCATCAGCGGGCAATCATCAGAAGCCATAAAACATGTTCCATCGTTGCGGAGTGTTCGTGAAGCTTGAGACAGGGCCAGGTGGCGATGCAAATACGTCAACCCTGCACCTGCCTTCGCAAGTACAGCCCAGGGTCCATGTCTTATTACTCTACGGCGGGGTGGCGATGCATTTTGCTGTGGGCTGATATTACATACATCATTGCAGACTCTCGACTTTGACAGCCGCAGTGAGCTTCTCCCTGAAAAGCTTCTCAGCATCCCTCCAAACGCGTGCTGTGTCTCTCTGGGGAAACTGCAGCAGCGACGGGAGAAGGTCCGAACTGAATTGCTCAGATGCTTCCCTGGGAAGGAGCGTTGGTAGGTGGTCGATAGATATGACCGATAGCAGTGGGTTACCAGTCCTACAAAATCATTCAGCTGACCACCCCGTTAATTAAGGCGAACTCTCAGCTTACCCAACTTCTACAGGTACAGTCGGTGCCGAGAAGGTGGTGTTGATCGAGTAGATTGGGATAGGGTTGTGGGGGTTGGTTGTATCACAGCTGACGTCGACGACAGCCGAAAGACGACGGTTGGGACCAGCATTGCGAATAGTCTCATGGGTCAGGAAGTGGGGGATCGGTGAAGACAGATAGATGCAGTTGACAAAGATGTCAACATCAAGGATCTCTTCGAAGGGACCGCCCTTGGCAGTCTCGGCCATATCCCACTTGAGGATGTCGTCTCTAGAGACCGGTGACGTGAGTACAGTTCAGCGTAATCTGTACAAATACGTACTCATCGAGACCAATCTTTCTGAACAGATCGACAGCCCCCCGGCCGCAGCGACCGAGAGCACCGATGACAAGAGCCTTCAGACCCTTGCCAGAACCGCCTAGCCGCCGCTTGACATCTTCGACCATGGTAGCCTCATCTGGGTAAGGCTCCAGGAGTCCGAGCTTCTCACCCTTCTTGTCGGCAGCAACAGCGAGGGCACCGGCCGCGGCACCCGCAAATCCGGCGTGGTAGCCGAACGCGGCCACGCGTCGACCGTTGTCGTCGTTCAGGAATTCGAGATCGTACAAAGTTCCTTGGCCCTTGTAGAAGCGGGCAAGGAACTTGGACCAGCCGGCCTGGTTCTTGTAGCAGTGGCCGAAGTGTATATGAGTGTGAATGAGTGGATCGTCGGACTCGGGGAGCTCCTTCAGACCGAGGATGGGTATATGTTGCGGGGCGCTTGGCCATGAGTTGTTTGCGACGAGCTTGCAGCCAGCACTGGATAATATCTGAATACACCGTAGCTGTACAACAAACTGGCTGAACATACGCTTCGTATTCAGCGTCATCGAAGATGCGCTGCTCATCCCGCTCGACTGTGATGTCAAAGCCGGCATCGATCAGCTTCTTGGCGGTAGCGGGGGTGAGAGCAGCGCGACGTTCAAACTGCTTGGTCTCGCAGCGCAGCCAAAAGCTTGGTACAGACATATGTTGCGGGTCAAGGGGGAAGGCTGAAGTCTTGTAATGAGTCAAAGGGCTTCTGGCTCTCGAAATTATACGCGCTTGCCTTGACTCGACTCTCGAGATCTTGCAGGCAGATCGATCCGCACGTGCGGCTCGATCGCATCAATGCATCATCAAACTCATCATCCCGGGAATATTACTCGCTACCAGCAGCCCAGAGGTCCAGCAGGATCGCAGGTAAACAGCAGCTATGCCGGGAGCAATCCGCAAACGCAGTCCTCTCAGACTACCGGGTGAATAGCTCTCATATCTACCTGTTTTTAGCTGCAAAGTTACTCACCTCCGCACTCTACAGACAAGCCCTATATTGCACTTGGGCTTGAGGGCTCAGCCAACAAGTTTGGGGCAGGGATCATAAAGCATGATGTGGATGGCTCTACTACAGTGCTCTCCAACGTACGGCACACGTACATTACGCCCCCTGGTGAAGGCTTCCTGCCGAGGGACACTGCAAAGCACCACCGCGACTGGGCCCTAACGGTTATCAATGATGCTCTCAAGAAGGCCGATATTTCTATGCGTGACTTGGAATGCATATGTTTTACGAAGGGTTCGTCAAATGCAATCGAAGTTGCAATGACACTGCGCTCATTTTTCTAGGTCCTGGAATGGGTGCACCGCTTTCGTCCGTCGCACTTGTCGCGCGAACTCTCTCGCTCCTCTTCGGAAAGCCTCTGGTCGGTGTAAATCATTGTGTTGGTCGTAAGCTCTGTTGTCATTTAGTCTCTTGTTATCGCCCTTATCATCTTTCCAGACATTGAGATGGGCCGGCAAATTACAGGCGCACAGAATCCAGTCGTCCTCTACGTCTCTGGAGGTAACACGCAGGTTATCGCTTACTCGCAACAGCGATATCGCATCTTTGGAGAGACTCTGGATATTGCTGTGGGAAATTGTCTCGACCGGTTTGCTCGAGTGATCAACCTCAGCAATGACCCCAGTCCTGGGCACAATATCGAACAAGAAGCCAAGAGGTATGCGTGCCGTGAAATTCTTCTTCTTCTTTCAGCTACTCATATATGGTCACCAGGGGAAAGCGTCTTGTGCCTTTACCGTACACCACTAAGGGTATGGATATTAGTCTGTCTGGCATCCTTACCTCGACCGAAGCGTATACTCTGGACAAGCGATTCCGACCGGATGGGAAACATCGCCAAGGAGACACCGACGACATTATCATGCCACAAGACCTATGCTTCACACTTCAAGAAACTGTTTTTGCCATGCTAGTAGAGATTACCGAGCGGGCGATGGCACATATAGGCAGCAGGGAAGTCCTCATCGTCGGGGGCGTGGGATGTAAGTCTATCCTTTGGAAGCCTCCTACACGTCGATGAACTATTCCAGGCAACGAGCGATTGCAAGAGATGATGGGTATAATGGCCCAGGAAAGAGGGGGGCAAGTGTTTGCTACGGATGAGCGGTATGCCAGGTTCACACACTTCGGTTTTCGTACTCACCCGAGGTTAGGTTCTGCATCGATAATGGCATCATGATCGCTCAAGCCGGCCTCTTGAGCTTCCGCATGGGCTACCAAACACCCTTGGCCAAAACTACTACCACGCAAAGGTGCGAGCCTTTTCCTCAGGCCGGAACCTTGGCTAACACTCGGCTTAGATTCCGCACGGATGAGGTCCATGTCGCGTGGAGAGCGTAAATTGAGCCCGCTAACAGAAAGACTACATGTGCTGTACAGCATGTATCACCAGCTGCAGGGTATTAGTCTATTCAGATGTACAGTGGGAGTTTAGCTTTGTGACCTGCGCATCCACGAGCCTCCACGCCGCTGGGTTCGACGCTGCCATTTCCCTCCCCAACTCTTCATATTGATCCCACCACCAGCCATGGGTCTCCTCGTATATGCCGGCAGTCCCTCGAGGCGTCGTCCACGGCTTATCGTGCAAGATATAGTGAAGGCACCGGACCTCATCATCTCGCCACAGTGGCTTGTGGATCTCTCGTAGAGTCTTTAGGGCGTTAAAGCACCAAGGTAAAACCTTCCACTTGCCGTCGAAGTATGCGGCAAGCAGGTCCTGATCCGGAAACGAGAACGTTGGCACGAGAGGGGACGTCTCTAGAAAGTGATTGAGGGAGGAGGCGAGCTCTTTCGACGGGTTGAGAACGACCAGGCCAGAGTTGAGCAGCTTGTATGGACGCGGGCTGGTAGGCAGTATCTGCGGGGGGTTCGTGATTGCAGTGGGATGTACGACCGCGCTGTGCGCACAGTTCTCTGGGACCCTAAGCCGAGTCTGAGACTGAGAGGTCGCTTGTGAGAGCTGACAAGCCGTACTCACCAGTCTGAGGGGTAATGGGGTAACTTCCTAGGATTGCATGCACAAGCGTGCACTGCAGCTATCTGATCGCTGGGCAAGTCTAGGTCGAAGAGTTCGTCCATGTTCCTCATGACGATCATGTCCGAATCGAGCATGACAATACGCTTAAAACGAGTTCGTTCAGCTTCAAGAGACATGGTATAGATGTTTGCTGCATACATCGTACTGAGTCAGCCCAAAGGATCTGCGAACGTTTCAGCCATGGTTTTTACGGCACCACCAAGGTACCCACCTGAGCTTCGTCCATGTATCCTGGAAGCGAATATCATGCGCCGCCACGGCGTGTGTGCCTGCAGTCGGCAGGAGAGACTCGACGTCCACCAGGATCATGCCGCGCTCCTGCAGGATATGCCTTGTCTCCTGGGGCACTGGAGGAGTGACCATGACCACCAGGGGGTATTTGGACCCTACGTCAACGAGGCCCTTGTGAACCACTAGTGCGCCGGGCAAATACTCGGTCTTGGTGAGCAAGGTCGCATACGCTCCGTTACGCGGCATCACCGAAAACTGTGGGGGAGACGTGCGACAGCGAGTAAATAAGATATACGGAAGTCGGTCCACCGGCAAAATTTAGGGGAGCTGGCCGAATCGGCCAGTAGGCTGTGTAATCAACATGCAAGCTGTTTCAGAGAATTTGCAGTGCGGACCAAATTCCGGCTGCAATGTGAAGCGCATTGTCCGGTGCTAGTCTGACTTTCCAGCGCGACGTAGACAAGGTGAAAGTCGATAAGAAAGCTGTACCGAGCCCTTGGCTTGCTGTTCCTAGAAGGAAACCCTCCTCGATAATCACTCTCAAGGCACGTCCCTTCGCTGAACACCCAGGCACTTTCGATCCGCATTCTTATGTCTGAAACATTCAAGTAGAGGACGCAAGCATGTATGAACAGTTTTTATGCGGGTGCATGCCATATCTTTAGCAGCAGGATGGAGAATCCACACAAAAACAAGTCATACGGGATACACAGCGGAGAGAATGTAACGAGACGACAGATAGCGAGGAGCGGAAAGGGATAGTTCCTCACCGGAGACGACTGAAGAGCATGCGGTTAGACCAGGAACATCCACGTAAGACTGGTTAACATACCGAGCCTCACGCTCGCTCTCCAGGAGAGCCAAGATGTCGTTGGTCCGGACAGGGCCCTTCACGTTACGGATGATGGAGCGGCTGGGGTCGTCCAAGAACTCAACGCGGACCTGAGTGACACCTCCACGAGAACCAGTTCTCCCAAGGACCTATGCAAAAGCAGTCAGGATGGGAGCCTTAAAACCCGGTCAAATTTCCAGAGGACCTTGGTGACGGCGGCGAGCTTGACGGGGACCTTTGCTGACGCATCCTAGAGGAGTATTAGTTCCTCATACTCACAATAACGAGCAAGATTTTACTGACCATTGTGATGTAGAGTGTATGTGCCGACGAGGTGCTTACTCAGGGAGGGTTCCGTGGACGCTGTGGATGGCCAGAAAATAGAGTTCAAGAAGCAGCGGTTTCGGCAATTCCCGTGATCTCATGGTCAACCCATAATTGGCAAGCCCTGCAATAAAAAGTGCCTACGTGTGCGTCTCGGATTCGTTCGGAAAGGCACAAAATCCAGTGTAGCCGGTCAATTTTCGTGAGGGATGCTAGACCGTGCTGCACAGATATATTTGCAACATCGCATGTCCACGACATGGAAGCGACATGGAGGCGACATGCAGCCGCCCTCGAACAATTTTCCCGTAAAGCGCAGTGTATAATCAGCAAGATTGCTCTGTTGGAGGCAATGAGGAGGAGACGAAGCGTAGTGCAATGTAAATGATATGCAAATCGATGCCAGAAGCTACCAAGCCATGAGTGAAATTAGGACAATGGTATACGAGAGCTCTACAAGGTTACAGTTCCGAAAGTGTGGATTTCAACTGGGCATCTTCCGCAACAAGCGGAAGAGTTTGCTTCCGTGCACCCTTGCCCTTCAGCACATTCTCAATAAAGAACTCTCCGGCCTTGGGGACATCTGTCAGCAGGTTCTTCGCACACGCGCAAATGACTTAACGTACCTTGTAGCTAGAACGGACCAGAGGGCCGCTCGCTACGTACAGGAAGCCCATACTCTCGGCTGTGCGCTTCCATTCATCAAACTCTGCTGGTTCCACATATCGATCGACTTTCATATGTCGCTTCGTTGGCCGCATATATTGTCCGAAAGTGATGACGTCGACGTCGGCCTTTCGTAGCTCTGTACAACTATCGGTGAAGGATCACATCTCGAATGAACAACGATACATACCTCGCAGCGCATCTAAGACCTGGTCTCGATTCTCACCGACACCGAGCATCATACTTGTCTTCGTCACACGAACGCCTTCCTCCTTCGCAAGCTTGAGTACAGCCAGACTCTGCCGGAATGTCGCACGGCGATCACGGACAAAGGGTGTTAGCTCCTCGACGGTCTCAACATTGTGCGCGTATACATCGAGCCCAGACTTCGCAACCAACGACACATGGTCCAGATTTCCAGCAAAGTCGCCCGTCAATGCTTCCACAAGAATTTGAGGTGCCCTAGGAGATAGTTAGTACTATGGCGGGTGGCGAGGGCATGAGCTCACTTTTGCTTGATCTTGCGGATGGTTTCAGCGAAATGGTGGGCACCGCCGTCAGCAAGGTCTAGCACAAATGCTGTCAGAGATACCGCAAAGATAGTAAGGGGATCTTACCATCTCGGTCCACATTTGTTAGCACGATATAGCCGAGGCCCCATCGGCTAATGGCTTCAGCAGTGTTCTCTGGCTCGTGCGGGTCCAATGGTGGAGGTGTTCGCGACGTCTTAACGGAGCAGAACCTGCACCCTCGGGTGCAGGTGTCTCCCATGAGCTATATAACCAAGTAAGAGAACGAATCAACCATAGACGGTATATTACGCACCATAATTGTTGCAGTCGCAGCCCTACGGTCCTCCTCTTCTGTTGCGCCTTCCTTCCCACCCCAGCAGTCTCCGATATTGGGACAACGTGCTTCCTCACATACTGTATGTAGACCAAGGCCTCTAAGGTCCTTTTTGATCTTGGTATACGATGTGCCAGTCGGTATAGATGTCTTCAGGAAAGAAGGTAGCCTTGGTCTAGTTGACATGAGCTAGTATCTTGCTCTTGGACAATGGAAACAGTGCTCACTGAGAAGTGTTGCCCAGAACAACTCTTTGAGGACCTTCCGCATCTCCAGCGATGAAGTCGTCTAACGATGGTCCGTCGGCGAGTTTCTTACTAATCACAGACTTGGACGATGATGGGGTAGCTAGCCCTCGGGCATGAGCGAGACACACAGGCGTCGACGCCCACGACGAAGTTGCGCGAATAATGGACGGCCTCACCGCTGTGCGTGTCACGACCAACGCCATCGTGGTGAATGACAAAGCAAAAGGTGATATAGGGCGGAGACGGACCTATCTGCGCGCCCCGACACCTGCCTAAAACGGCATCCCGCAGTTAACTCAATCGGCGTCAAAGCAGGTCCTCCTTCAACCACACGGCGGTATGAACACCACGCTCTCGCGGAGGGAAGAGGAGGCTCTTGTAAAGACGACGAAGGAGAAGGCTTTGAAAGAGTGCGATCCAGTAGTCAAAGGTACGTTTCTCTCTCATATCCCGCTCCCATATAACTCACGTTGGCGCAATAGCGTTCGCAGAATGCGCGACTGGCCGTACTGTATCTGTTGCTTGGGCATGCAGAGATAGATATAAAGCAGTGCAAGAGTGTATGGCGATTCAGTACGTTCGCATGCTCAGTAGCATTAAGCTTCTTCTGACATGTCAATAAACAACAGTAATGGTCCGGAGCGTCTGGCAGTCGTCCGTGAAGAGTACTTGCACCTGAAGCATCTTCAAAACACCAAGAATACTTCGTCATAGAGATGAAGTCAGTTTCCACCGTTGGATCAGGCACTCCGTAAGTTCATGTAAGAAAGAATATCAATACCCATCCGTTCGAAGTAACCAGAGTTAAAAAAGCACGACAGCAATACAACTCGGAAAACCGCATTTCACTTTCACTAAGTTTCAGAATGCTGCTTATTTCTTTCCGTTCACAGCAAGCCACTGTTGACGCAGCGTCATAAGTGACGAGACGAATCTGTGAGAAGTGTCAAACAGCACTCCATTGAAGGATCAAGAGGAAGTCGTACCCAAACATTCCGACAATGCCGTCGTTCAAGGTGACGAGACCAAGGTTCGTGGCGGGAATCCAGACGTCCAAGAGGTCGACAATGAATTGGAAACGTGTCTCTGCTCTGGCACTACGTCCAGTGTGTCAGCAGAAAATCTCAGCTGATAGGACAGATAACGCACGCCAAGTTCGCCCGCAGCTTTGTTTCCCGTTCGACCTCTGCCCCCTTCTCAGACCACACGGAACTTTGCAGCTGCTTAGCTTCATTAGCCAAACGTCCAGCCTGTGGATCGTTTTCAGGTCGTAAGTTTGCCGTTCAAAAATACATGCCTTACCTTCAATAGTCCGAAAGTGATGCTAAGCAGGATCCCTGCAAGCCAGAACCGATTTGCGTGCTTGTTGACGCGTGCAGCAGTACTGGGCTTCAAGTTGTAAAACTTGATGTTGTTAGCCTATGTGCACACGAAGCCCATTAGTATACCTCTAACGGTACTCGAGCGACGACGTACCCAGACAAACATGTCGTTCGTCAGGTAACCGAAGTAGGCGACTTGGCGGCCCATGGTAGTGATGGTTTCCGTGGCAGGGAGATCGATTCGCTGGGCGGCGCGCATCGCGTTCTGCAGATGTTCCCAAGGCTTGCCAAGTCTCATGAGCTTCCTGCCCAAGGCAAGGTGGTTCTTGATTGCATTCCATCTTGCGGCCTCGATTTTCTGTCCCCTAGAGAGCAGCAGCCATGCAAGGAGACGCGCGAAATATTGAACCGCACGGTAAGTCTGGAACAAAGCGTTCAACTAGAGATAGGAGCTCTCCATGTGCAACTAGCGTACCTTGTCCCTCCCCACAGTTGTGCTCCAAAGCTTCAGAGTCTGCGAGACCGTAGGGTGGAAGACAACTTGCTGCGCGACGCTGGCCATGTTGGACTGTGTGGATGCGGTGCAGGGGAGGATGGAGGTAGTGGACACGAAGCCATCCTGTTATTCCCTCCGGCAGGGAAATAGAGGCATAGAGCGATATCACGTGTAAACCCCTCTATCTCCACGGGCGATTTCAGACGTGTCGTCGGAAACAGCGTGCAATACCCCGACGCGACTTTCAAGTCGCGTTTGAGCGCGAGCACATCGGGCAGAACATCTGGAACGCTGTTACGAGCGTGTATGAGCAGTATGAGCATGCAGACGACCCTGGATGAAGGACTTCAATGCTCGGTGAGCGGATGATTTCGGGGTGTAAGTCGGCCAGAGCCGTCACAACGCGGTGACGCGCTTGCAAGTACCCGCGGAATACAGGCTTCACCTTGGTCTGCTTTGCCTATTATTGCCCTTGCACGCACCGTCCCGCTATGACCAGCATTCGGCTTGTGGCTCGCACCAAATTTGTAAGTTTCTGACGCGTCAAGAACTCCTATCGATGTTCATGGCTCATGTGATACGGCCCGCCCGGGATATATACAGTTCGATGCTCAGAGGGCACCTGGTCAGAGACTCTTCTCCTCTTCTTCTGTGATCATGGTGAGTTTCCTGCGGTAGGCCCAAAATAAAATCTTACAGTCGTGCAGGAGCAGAAGTACCGTACCGAGCGCGATACCTTCGGCGACCTGCAAGTCCCAGCCGACCGTTACTGGGGTGCGCAGACCCAGCGGTATGTTTCAGTATCTTAGGCTTCGTATATGTTAACATCCTTCCTCTGGTAGGTCTCTGCAGAACTTCGACATTGGTGGCCCTACGGAACGCCTTCCCCCTCCTCTGATTCAGGCCTTCGGTGTGTTGAAGAAGGCCGCCTCTATCGTCAACGTTGGCTACGGCCTGGACCCCAAGATCGGTGAGGCTATTCAAAAAGCTTCCGACGATGTGAGTCGTATCGAACGTCGTTCCAGAGATATGGATCAGAATACCTATCATTCGTCAAGGTCATCTCCGGCAAGCTCATAGAACACTTCCCTCTCGTCGTCTTCCAGACTGGAAGTGGCACTCAGAGTAACATGAATGCCAATGAGGTGAAAACGATTTCCTCTGCGTTGGAACAGTTGTGAAAGTCTAATTCCTTCCGATCCTCATAGGTCATCTCCAACCGAGCCATCGAAATCCTCGGCGGTGAGCTCGGCTCGAAGAAGCCCGTTCATCCGAATGACCACGTCAACATGAGCCAAAGCTCTAACGACACGTATGGCATAAAGTACTCTTTGTCCAATGCATTTTCTCATCACATTATGACAGCTTCCCTACGGCTATGCACGTCGCTGCCGTGACAGAGATTCGCCGTTCCCTGATTCCTGCTCTCACTGAGCTGAGAGACGTGCTCGACAAGAAGGCGAAGGAGTTCGACCACATCATCAAGATCGGTCGCACTCATCTTCAGGATGCTACTCCTCTCACTTTAGGCCAAGAGTTCAGCGGCTATGTTCAGCAGGTCTCAAACGGCATTGACCGCGTCGAGGCCGTTCTGCCCCGTCTTAGCCTCTTGGCTCAGGGTGGTACCGCAGTTGGGACTGTAAGTTACGCGAGCTGCAGTTCAAATTGTACGCTCACAGTATCGCAGGGCCTTAACACCAGGAAGGGCTTTGATGTCAAGGTTGCTGCTGAAGTCTCGAAACTCACTGCCATTGAGTTCAAGACTGCTCCCAACAAGTTTGAGGCCCTGGCCGCCCACGATGCCCTTGTAGAGGCGCATGGTGCCCTCAACGTCGTTGCTTGCTCTCTGATGAAGATTGCCAACGACATTCGCTACCTCGGCTCCGGCCCGCGCTGTGGCCTTGGTGAGCTCAGTCTCCCCGAGAACGAGCCTGGTAGTAGTATCATGCCCGGCAAGGTCAACCCCACACAGTGTGAGGCTTTGACCATGGTTGCGGCGCAGGTTATAGGCAATCAGACTACTGTCAGCGTTGCGGGTGCTAGCGGCCAATTCGAGGTGCGCACTGACAGCCGGGACGACATGACAGTCCACTGACAGGCTGTCCAGCTGAACGTCTTCAAACCCGTTATCATCAAGAACGTTCTCCAGAGCATTCGGCTTTTGGCTGATGGTTGGTACTCTTTGCTTCGGTAATAGCAATAGTAGGCTCATTTCATCTCAGGTTCCCGCTCGTTCACCAAAAATTGCGTTGTTGGCATTCAGGCGAACGAGAAGCGCATTAACCAGCTACTCAACGAGTCGCTAATGCTAGCAACTATTCTCAACAGCCACTTGGGCTACGACAGTATGTTTTCACGTCGCGCCATTTGTGAGTTTCCGTGACTAACGCCGGTCACGAAGATGTTGCCAAGTGCGCGAAGCAAGCACATAAGGAGGGCACGACGCTTAAGGAGGCTACGGTTGCGCTTGGCTTCCTCACTCCTGAGGAGTTCGACCAAAAAGTCCGCCCTGAACTGATGCTTCACCCTGATGAGGCGTAGATTGGCTATTTCGTAAATACGTAGATAATGGGCTCATATCGCACCAGAATTGCTATGGTAATAACTTCTGGTGCACTGGCCTGGCGCTTCCGGAACGGGGGCACATTGTCGGCCGTCATCTTGCCACAGACGCTTTGGGTACAAGCAGTGCGCAGTCTCACAAGACGGCACACTGTCGTCTTGATGCAGTACAGGCAAACAGAATAAACGATTGAGAACGTCTAAGAGGGCACAGCTGGGGATGCGGTTGCTGCTACATCGGGCTGTGACAGTGTCACGGCGGGATGGGATATCGAGAAGCCCACGATTCCCGAAAAGGCAAGAGCCCGAGACGAAATATGAAGGACAGCTTTCAACAAGCTGGGCCATTGCGGCTCAGCCGTTGCACCGCTGCCGGTCCTGCATCAATCATTGCGTCCTCGTCCTCATTCCTCACCATCACAAACAGCGAACAGTTGCCCTCGCTCGCTGTGCCTAACAACATCGTCGCTACCGCGGTCTGGAACGTCCGCCGCCGACTCTGCTACGCCGCATAGCAAAGGACGTTGTTTATACTCAGTCATCAGTTGGGCGTCTACTGCGAGCTCAAACTCGGAGAAAGACGTAGCAATTCTTGTCTGACACACCCCTCGTGCCTTTTCCTTCGAGGTCTGCAACCGTGGTTTCCATTCGCCAGCATGTCTCTGAAGCATATCCTCAACGACGATTCACACACGCCGACGCACTCGACATTGTCCGCGACAGTTTCGACGACGATCAACAACGTTGATTCAGCATCAAGGCCGCATTCGCCAGCCCCCACGCCAACTCCATCTGCGCCGCAGCGAGGACGTAGAGGAAGGGCTCGTGCAAAATCAAGTCCGCCTGCCCAGGATCCTGAACAACCTTCCGCTCGGGAGTACACATACCAGACCATGGTGTACCAGGGTCCACGGGGTTCGTAGCAACTACGATTTGTCTTGGCTCAAATGCTGACGCCTCCCCTTCCGGCTAATAGGCGAATTTTATCCTGAGCATGAAGACGAGGCGGCAGCATCTCCGCGGACCTTCAACGGAGAAGCGGACGAGACCATGTCTGCCCAAGGTCACCTTGAGACCAACGGGCGCAAGAAGAGGAGGCCTGGTGCGGCAGAAGACCAGGAATATCATCCTCCGGGGACAAAGCGCGTACGTCTTCGCATCTGCTCAAAGATTTTCGCGCTCACTGTCCCTTCCAGCGTACTCCGCGTCGTAACCCCCCTCGAGGGAAACAAACGCAACTTACCATAGAGACACATGAAGTAGAGTCTCAGCCAGATCAATTTCACCATGAGCCCACGGAAGACGAGCGACGGCTCGCCTCGTCGGATCTCGAGGATTGTCCCGAAATATGGCAACCCGCAATAGGTACTTTTATTATGGACAGTCGCAAAAGACAGAAGCAGACCGAACAGTACTTCAATCGTTGGATCATTGTGAGTGCACGATGACCTAGCGTCTACATATCTGTATATGCTAACAGCTGGTCCTAGAATCGCGACTCGTCTACTGCATACCAAGTATCACATTCGTACGTGGAGCGAATTGCGCGTATACCTCTCCCTCCCCCACCACTGCCGCCACCGCAGCCTCCAATGTCGCCGTATGATGACGAAGGTTCTACTCGTAGATCACACTCGGTGATGTCAGGCGACGCCTTCGCGATCATCGACTACTTCCCCCATGGACGCAATCAGGGCTCCGCCGCTACTAATGATCCCGAGGAATCCCTTTCAGGACGCAGTCCGAACAAAGCGGGCAAAAAACGACCTGCGGATGGCGACAGTGACAGCGACAGCAGCGAGGCAGACATCCCTATCGCAGCACGCCACGGTCCTCTGAGCAAGAAGAGGAAAATTGCCAAAGGTCCTGCGCCGGATAGTCATCCTGGATACCCTGAGGCGATGGCCTCCATGACCGGGACAATACCTCTACCAATCGGAACACACATCTCTGGTAGGGGGAAGGGGAAGACAAAGCAGCGAGAAGATAGCGTCGACAGCGCCTCTGCCACACCCCGCGGTCGCAAGAGGCCAGGAGTCGGAAAGAGGAGTGCCCTACCGCCACATACGCAAGAAGCTCTCGGATTGGGAGGGTCAATATCTGCGTCTGCGTCTCGTGATATTACTCCCGCCGGTTCCAGGGCTCCTTCACCTGCGCTGACGAACGTATCTGCTGCTATCTATGAGCTGGACGAGGCAATACCTGCGCTCAAGAAGGCTAGGCGCATAGATGATGCTGGCATGTGGAAGCGTGTCAAGACCCTAGAAGAAATGCAACGCAAGGTCTGGACCAACATTGCTAAAAGAGACATCGTAAAGGTATTCTACAGATCACGTAGCTTGACACCAGTTTTTGACCTTCTCTTGCAGGTGTACCGTTATCACAGTGCTGGATATCAGGCGCGGCAGGCTCAAACGAAGCGTGTAGCAACGCAGGCTGCTCTGCATGCTCGGAAACCCTTCACGCGTACTGCGAAAGGTAGCAAGGATGTTCAGGCAAAGGGCAAACGGCTCATGCGAGAGATGCTCGTCTTTTGGAAGAAGAACGAGAAGGAGGAGCGCGATGTTCGGAGGCGCGAACAGCGTGAGGCTCTCGACCGTGCCAAGATCGAAGAGGAGAAGAGGGAGGCTGCTCGCCAGGCTCGCAAGCTTGAGTTTTTGATCAGCCAGACTGAACTCTACAGCCACTTCGTCGGAAACAAACTAAAGAGTACGCGGCGTGCGGATGCTGTACAAAATGCTTGCTGACTTTTGTTGTCACAGCCGCGCAAGTGCAAGGTGACGAGCTTGAGGCTGCGACGCCTGCTGGTGCGGATTACGATGATGCCGAGGGCGAGCTTCAGGATATCGACTTCGACGATGGTGAGCGGCATAGTGGCTTTGACTTCAGTGTTGCTCACGCGACTTGCAGAGGACCATACCAACATTCATCGCCATGCTAGACGTAACGCTCAAGAGGCCATCTTGCTTGCTAGACGGAAGGCACAGGATTTCGACGTTCAAGCCGCATTAGAGCGCAAGACTAATGAGGCTTTCAATCTCGCAAAAGGGCAAGCTCATATCCGCACGGATGATTCTACTGAGGTTTCGACGTCGGCCGGTACACCTCTGGTTGACCTGGACTCTGACGAGCTCAACTTCCAAAACCCGACATCCTTAACCGGAGAGCTGACGATCAAGCAGCCGAACATGCTGATGGCAACTCTTAAGGAGTATCAGCTCAAGGGTCTTAACTGGTTGGCAACCCTCTATGAGCAAGGCATCAATGGTATATTGGCTGACGAGATGGGCCTTGGAAAGGTAAGCCTGCAGCGACCGATATATGCTTCGTCTTCTCACTGCGACTGTAGACTGTACAGTCCATCTCGCTGCTCGCCTACCTGGCCGAGACGCACGACATCTGGGGTCCATTCTTAGTTGTTTCTCCGGCGTCTACGCTGCACAATTGGCAGCAGGAAATTACCCGCTTTTTGCCCAAGCTCAAGGCCCTGCCTTACTGGGGTAGTGTGAAGGACCGAGCCACCCTGCGCAAGTTCTGGTCGCGGAAGGAGATCTCGTACACCGAGGATGCTCCATTCCATGTTCTCATTACGAGCTATCAGCTTGTCATCCAGGACCAGCAGCACTTTCAACGTATCAAATGGCAGTACATGGTTCTGGACGAGGCCCAGAATATCAAGAACGCGGCCGGCGCACGGTGGAAGACGTTGCTCGGATTTCAGTGTCGCAATCGCTTACTGCTTACGGGCACACCTATTCAGAACTCGATGCAGGGCAAGTCGTCTCTTCGGCCGTCCCCACTACTGAATACTAATACTCGTGTAGAATTATGGGCTCTACTTCATTTCATCATGCCTAGCCTGTTCGATTCGCATGACGAGTTCAACGAATGGTTCTCCAAGGATATCGAGAACGCGGCCGAGAATAAGGGTAGCAAGCTGAATGAGCATCAGCTCCGCCGGCTGCACATGATCCTCAAACCTTTCATGCTGCGTCGCGTGAAGCGTCACGTACAGAACGAATTAAGTGATAAGGCAAGCTCACCAAAGCATATGACTTGATCTACTCGCTTATCATCACACCCTTCAGATTGAAGCTGACATCTATGTCGAGCTCAGTGCCCGGCAGAGAGCATTGTACGATGCGATGAGGGCGAAGGTCTCAGTCAGCGACCTCCTGGAAAAGGCAGCGAACTTCGATCAGGAGTCTCAAAATTCACTGATGAACTTGGTTATGCAATTTCGCAAAGTGCGTGCAGCCCAGTGCCTCACAGGATGGAAGATTAACAGCACATAACTTGCAGGTTGTTAATCATCCCGAGCTATTCGAGCGCGCCGACGTAATTGCTCCGTACTCATTCTCAGCCTTTGGCAAGCCTGGGCCACTGAGCCGAGAAGGCGACTTCGTCGATCTGCCGTATTCAGCACGGAATCCCATTGAGTTTGAGATTCCCAGTCTGCTTTACGAGGATGGCGGTCTCCTCGATGTCCCTAGCGAAAATGCATCGCTCCGTTATGAGAAAGGCCCCCTCGCCACTCTCTATAATATCTGGTCCACGGACTGGATTCAACGGTCAATGCTTGAGGATGGTACGTTGCATGATACTCTTCGATGTGTGTGTGTATGTGTGTGTTTTTAACCCGCGTTGCAGCGAATTCCGGTTTCTCGTTTCTACGCTTCGTAGATGTATCTCCAGCCGAGGCACATGAGACATACCTCATGCCTATCTTTCAACGTCGGTTAGCTGCCCTTCGTCAAGAGACTGAACTAGTGGAGGAGGCACCCTATGTGTTGTGCGTGTTAGTTACATGTCGAATGCCCTTGCACTAACGAGTCGATGTATTAGCGATTCCGAGTTTGTGGCTAGCTCGAAGACCGGCCCATACGCAATTCCGCCCCTCTCACCCGTCGGTTTAGTTGCCAGGGCCCATAGTCAGCCTGCGCTTCTCTCTATATCAGCAGACGCGTGGACTAGCTCTTGCCTGTCACGAAAAGATCTTCACTGGTTCATCCCTCCCGTTGTGGCGCCACCGATCACTATCTACTGCACGAACCGTAATTTCCTCGAGCATCGAGTTACTGTACTGGAGGCCCCGTACGAGTCCTTGGTGCTGTACGGATTGCCACCAGGTTACCGCGAATCGGTGCCTGACGCTGTCATATACGAGCGTCGACTGCCCGGCATACCTATCGGCGGCCTTCTGCAGAGCTCTCCGGACGATCAAGTGCCAAGTCCACCCATGCAAGTACCAGAAGCGAAGCGCCTCATTTACGACTCCGCGAAGCTTGCTCGCCTCGACGCGCTGCTACACGAGCTCAAGGCCGGTGACCACAAAGTCCTGATCTACTTCCAAATGACGAGAATGATGGACTTGATGGAGGAGTATCTCATCTACCGTCAGTACAAGTATCTCCGTTTGGATGGTTCATCGAAGCTGGAAGACCGGAGAGACATGGTCATGGAGTGGCAAACACGGTAGGCACCCCCGTCCCAAATATGTCAGCCTTAGCTGACCGTTCGGTAGACCCGACATCTTCGTCTTCCTGCTCAGTACTCGTGCTGGCGGTCTAGGTATCAACCTAACTGCAGCCGATACGGTCGTCTTCTACGATCACGACTGGAACCCTTCTAACGATGCTCAAGCCATGGACCGCGCACACCGTCTTGGTCAGACTCGCCAAGTCACTGTGTATAGACTTATCACGAAGGGCACGATTGACGAGCGTATCGTTCAGATGGCTAGAGTGAAGAAAGATGTAAGTTTTTCGGTGTAGATATGCAGCCGATCATGACTAACATCAGTACAGGTGCAAGACATTGTCGTCGGGAACAAAAACTTCACGGATGTCACCAAACCGAGCGAGATTGTTCAGCTTCTGCTTACTGATGATCAGTTCGCGAACTTGGGCAGCACGAATGTGGCAAGCTCTTCCAAGAGGAACGGCAAGCGGCCTGCTGGTCAGGCTAATGGAACCGATACGCCTGTACGCGATCTGTGGAACGAAGAGGGCGACGAATTTTTCGCGCAGAGTGGACCGATTCAGTCCGGCACTGCGAGTATCCAGGAGCTCGAGGACGATGGTACGCCCGTGCCGACGACTGTCCGCAAGAGAGGGAGAGGGGACGGCACTGGTCGTCGTGGACGCAAGCCGGGGCCGAAACCTGGTAGGAAAAGGACCAACGTCGGAGAGGCGGACTCGTGATTGTCGTGTTCAAATTGTCAGTCTCTCTGCGGCTCGTATATTTGCGGTATAACTCTCGTTTTAAGCTGTCGTTGATCTGTACTTTGGACCATCATACCTCGTATTACTGTCTTGTATTCGTATCTTACATCATAGTTGTTGTGCACAAACTGTAATGTCATGGCTATTCTGCATGTTACTCCTGAGTGCCTTGTCTTCCGTCGCCACCTATGTTTTGAGGCGCTTGTTTCGCAGGTCTTACTGCTGTCTTGCTGTCGACGTCGAGTCAACTTTTCTCGACTGAATTTTGAACAGCTGCATGAACCATGGTACTAGGTATATATCCTGACTCATCCTCATCCTTTCGGTCCTCGCTATCACTTTCTCGAATAAGAGCTCCTTTGTTTGAAGTGTTACAGCCACTATTTCTTCTTTCGGACTAATCACCGCCCGTTGGCATCCATTTACCTTGCGAAGCAAGCCGCACCTAAGACTACCGTTCAAGTTCACTTTGTAGCGTATTAGACATGGCAAAGAAGAAGAAGACGCAGTTGAAACCTGTTGCTCGCGGCTTTGCAACAGTGTCTGTCGCGAAGAAGCTCGCTTCTACAGAGCCTGAGCCTGAGGTCGCTCCGGCTCCCCCCAACAACCACGCCACATCGGAATTAGGGGATGCTTCATCGAGGACCGATGTGCAAGGGACGAGCGACTTTGACCTCGATAAGGCGGAAGAACAGTCTTTGCAGAACCTGATCGACAAGTACCAGGACCGTGTAGAAAAAGAAATAACACGGGCTCTTAAGGTAGGCAGAACGCTTGCATACCCTGATCATATCGCGTCTTACCTGTCTCGGAGCCGTAGGCAATTGAGCAAGAACGTCGGTTCTCCGTAACTCTGCCGAGAATCGACTTGGAACCGACGTACCTGGAGAGGATACTGCAACTTCTCACCGCGTCCACCGACGAGCCCTCGGAAATTGGCGCGTGCGGCTTTCTTGCAGAAGTCTTTCATGGCTGACTTACACCATGCTTATAGTCCAAGGTACCGTCGATGACCCAGAAGATAAGGCTATCCCTCAGCTCGCTATAACATACGGCGTGCTCAGACGATTAGGATTTCAAGAGGATATTGTAGGACAGTGCCTAAGGTCTATAAGGGGAATTGACCTCGAGCAGGCTGTGGAATGGGTGTGTGTGAGATAAATTTTTCCCAAACCGTTGTTGTGCTCAGCTGTGCCAGCTCTTCATACGATGTCCCGAGGAAGAGCTGCTCTCCATTTTGGGTATGCGCCACTCTAAGCTTCGTTCTTATTTACGGCGTTCTCACTGATAGGTCGAGATGATGCGTTGCCTAAGTCCAAGACCTCACGACCGTCGCAGGGAACAAGCTCACCCACCCTGCCACACTCTCCTACACGCGCACGTTCTCGAAGCGTCGTCGGGAGTGCGACTATCAGTCCCCCGATGACACCTCGTTCAACCATTTCTCTCCAGGGTACCCAGTTCTCGGACAGCATCACTGCAGTCTCTAGCGATGCACGCTCGGAAAGAACATTCTCCGCTACCCTTACTAACGCCTCGGCTTCCGTGCCTGGTACTCCTGACGAGGATCCTAACTCTGCCTACGTCCATCTAAAGATGCGAATTTCTGAGCTGACGACACATCGCAAGCCAACCGAGTCTGCCGACGCGACCTTTTTACGGATGCTCCGAGAACGTCTGGAAGAAGTGAAGCGGGATTATTTGTTCGACGAGCACGAAGCTGAGACGGCCTACCGTGCCGAACGGAAGAAAGCAGACGAGATGGCTCTGCAAGCACGACTACGTGGGGAAAATGTCGAGAGTGCGCGGCCTAGCTCGCCTCCCACAAAGCCCTTGCCGCTTCCCATAAAACCCTTACCGGATCCACCTGTGGAAGAGACCACGAGTGGGGATATTTTCGACGAAGCTAGCGATGATGATAGTCCTGGTGGTTTGCTCGAGCTTCTGGAAGAGATGCCACAGACCGAGACGACCACAAAGGGTACCACTATTCTTATCCGTGATCTGCCTGTGCCGAAGAACTGGTCAGGTCGATTACCTCGCACTCTGCTCCTGGAAGTGGTTCACAAGATCGACAAATATGCCAATGTCAGCTTCCGGCCTATATCTGGTGCAAGCCGCGCAAAACGGTCGGCAGTGCGCGTCATCTGGCAGCAGGACGACGCCAGCGAGTGGTCCATGGAAGATATTGCTTGCCACGATTCGAATCAAGCAGAGCAGTACATCGCTTTGGTTGCGACGCACCAGCTCACCTTCCCGGAGACACCTGGCTTTGCTGTTGGCGGCACTGCATCTGCCAACGCCCAAACCTCGTTTAGGCTACTTCCACCTGTGTATCGAGGCCTGTGGAACGAATTAGAAGAAAAGAGGCGGGCAGACCATGATCACGTTAACCGGGATATCTGGGCAAAGCTGAGGGGCATTCTTGAGCCGAAGCTGAGTGGGTACAAGGTACAAAGTCCGGCTCTTGATGGGTGGGGATACTAATTCTGCCACTAGACGCCGGTTAAGAGGCAGAGAGTTGTAACGCAGGCCGCGCGCACGACTTCAGGAAATGAAAACGATCAGGCCATCGTTTCCTCCGGTAAGATTGCCACCGACTTTAGAGTCCGACAGGAGAGCATAGCTTATCAAGAAATGCTTGTACGTGGAAGTAGCTATTCTCACCTTCGCTGGCGCTGATAACGCCTGGCAGCGACAACGCAACAGCCTTCCGATCGCTGCATATCGGGATAAGATTGTCTTGACGCTAGAATCATCACAGGTCCTCGTACTCAGTGGAGAAACTGGATGGTGAGTCTAACAATCAGACGATCGGCTTTCGAGGCTGACGTCAAGTATTACAGCGGTAAATCGACCCAACTTCCTGCATTCATCTTGGAGGACTGCCTCTCTCGTGGGCAGCACTGTAAGATCTACTGTACGGAGCCACGGCGTATCTCAGCTTTGTCACTTGCCAACCGCGTGTCACGAGAACTGGGAGAGCCTCTTGGAGCTGTCGGGACAAACGGGTCGCTTGTCGGGTACTCCATCCGACTAGAGAGCAACACGTCTAGGACAACCCGACTGACATATGTCACGAATGGTATTGCGTTGCGCATGGTTGAAGGTACTGCTGCCGATCAGCGAGGGTCATCCTTCGACGAGATCACGGTAAATGAGCTCGTTGAATATTGAGTTACCTACGCTGGTACTAATTCTCTCACGTGAAGCATATCATTGTGGATGAAGTACACGAACGCACCATAGAGTCTGACTTCCTCCTGATTGTGCTCAAGTCGTTGATCCAAGAACGCCCCAACCTTAAGCAAGTACCATCCCTTTATGGTTTATCCTGAACACTAACACAAACACTTTCAGAGTAGTATTGATGTCAGCCACACTCGACGCGGAGAAGTTCTCAAGCTACTTTGGCGGCTGTCCAGTCCTTCAAGTCCCTGGCCGAACATTCCCTGTAGATGTTCGCTATCTTGAAGATGCGGTTGAGTTCACGAGGTGGAAGGTGGCGGAGGGTTCCCCTTATGCTATACGCGGTATGCGACTCACTATCAAGCACTGTACCTTGCTCTGATTGGATTTCATAGGTACCGACAGATACTCGCGCAATCGTTCTCGTAGTGACTGGTCGGAGGACACTGCGCTCGCGAACGATGACGAGGATGAGGTCGCGCATGAAGATGTTCATCTCGAAAAGCGATACTCTTCTTCGACGGCTTCTACCATCAACACGCTTGACGAGCGCCTCGTCCCATACGACCTTATCGTTCTGCTTCTGGAGGGCATCTGTTTACAAGAGTCGGTTTACAGCGGCTATTCGTCAGCCATCCTCATTTTCATGCCAGGTCTCGCGGAAATCCGGCGATTGCATGAGATGCTCATGGAGCACCCGGTATTACAGTCTGAGGAGTACTTCAGGATATACCCGCTACACTCCAGCATTGCAAGCGACCAGCAAGCGGCGGTATTTGACGTGCCTCCTCAGGGTATGAGGAAGATAGTGATTGGTGTGTCTTCTGCCCATGTGGCGTCGTATTGCTCTTGATATTGTCCTATCAGCCACCAACATTGCCGAGACTGGTATCACCATCCCAGATATCACTTGTGTTATAGACACTGGCAGACAGAAGGAGATGCGGTGTGTCTGTTTTCTCATATACATTCCATATATATGTCTGACACCTGTGTAGCTTCGATGAGAAGCGCCAGATTAGTAGACTGGTCGACACGTTCGTGGCTAAAAGCAACGCTACTCAGCGTCGGGGACGTGCTGGGCGTGTACAACCCGGTCTTTGCTTCCATCTCTTCACGAAAGTCCGACATGACACAAAGATGGCGGACCACCCCGATCCCGAGATTATGCGATTGAGCTTGAGTGACCTTGCTCTGCGCATCAAGATCATGAAGGTCAAGATGGGATCCTCCATAGAAGACGTTCTCTCTCAAGCCCTCGATCCGCCGTCTCCGGTCAATATTCAGAGGGCTGTATCTGCATTGGTCGAGGTCGGGGCTCTGACGACATTGCAAGATATTACACCGATGGGTCGACTGCTGAGCAAGTTGCCAACCGATGTTCACCTTGGGAAATTCTTGCTTATCGCCTGTGCCTTTGGCTGCCTCGACCCTGCGCTCACGATCGCGGCAGCTTTGAACTCTAAGTCTCCCTTTTTGACGCCCTTCGGTAAGGAAGAAGAGGCTCATCGTCAGAAACTATCGTTCAGAATAGGTGTGTCGACTTATTTCATCCTGTTGGCCTTGCTAACAATAGGTTTAGAGAACTCTGATTTTTTCACGCTTCATAATGCCTTTTCAAGTTGGCGTCGGGCATGCGCGAACGGGCCTTCCGTTGCGCGTAAACTGTGCAGAGACACTTTCATGAGCCATCAGGCAAGTTTTATTACCTCTGCACGAACGAGTCTTCGGTCTCAACGCTTCTGTAGAATCTGCAACAGATCGAAGAGCTTCGTGAACAGTTCCTTGGGTAGGTCCTCTTGGGCACATACTAATTGCCACTGACTGACGTGACACCTAGCTACCTCATTGATTCCTCCTTCATTAAAGCACCTCCAGCCTTAGTAAAGGAACTTAATCGGTACATATCTGCCTTTCAAAATGTGTCGCAGGCTCTCATGCTGTGCGCAGAGCTCGTTATTCCAGCCGAGGACGAACACGCTTTGTCTCTCCACCTACGGAATTGGATCGTAACTCAGGCAATTATGCCATTGTCGGTGCTGCACTAGCTGCAGGTCTCTACCCCAAGATGCTATTGGCGGGGGGCAAACCAGGCACGGAGAGTTTAACGACTATCACAAACAACCAACGCGTCGCTTTCCACCCGTCTTCCGTAAACTTTGGACGGAAGCCTTCAGATTTTGGGGTGAATTACTTGTGCTACTTCACGATCATGTGGGTCATCTCCTGCGCACGCCCTGCTGTCGTTTCTCACGTTTGCGTAGGCAATCGAAGAAGATGTACGCTTGGGAGACGGGGCCTGTCGAAGACCTGTCGGTTCTACTGCTATGCGGAGACGCAGAGTTCAAGCTTTTGGCGGATACTGTCTCCTTGGACAGGAAGATGCGCTACAGCGTTAGTCCGAAAGCGAGCGTTGCTCTCAAGTACCTTCGGAAAGAGATGACGTCCACGCTGGCGATACACTTCAGCGGGAAACCCGTAACCGAGCCTGATGCCGTTTGGGAGGACACGGCCATGGCCATGCTGGGCAAGGTCAAACCAGAGGACTCGGAGAAGAAAGCTGAGAAAATCACTCTTGTAACAAATAGAGTGCTGTAACAGAATATCTACGCAAATCCCGAGTGTTTGCTTCTGGGGTCATGCAGCGTGGGAGATTTGTCACCAGTCTACTCGGTGGTAGATTGCGTACTGAGGAAATCGAGTGGATACAATATAGCATTGCAGACTTTACTGTGCAAGGTGACTACTCTCGAGCGTGTCCGACTCGGATACCGCTGGTAACATACCTCATAGGGCTTGGGTCTCAAGGTCTCATTCTTGACACGATTCTGGTATATCGTAAACGCTCATGCAAGCCCATGGAGCATAATGATATTGAAACATCGATAGCGTAACAAGAGCAATACGACAAAGGCGTAAGACGCTTAGTCTTCTTCCTCCTCGTCTCCCTCCGTCCTATGATAGTCCTGTTAGTCTCACGCTAAGAAAATGCACACCGCAAGACGTACTGAATGTTGTAGAAACGGAGCTGGTAAGAATCCTTCGAAGAAGCAACAACGCGTATCCAGTCGCGGAGCTGGTTTTTCTTCAAGAACTTCTTCGTCAGGTACTTGAGGTACCGCTTAGAGATGGGGATACTGGCGGTAACAGTGACGCTAACGTCGCCTGAATAACGGGTTAAACTTCGATACACAGGGATGAGATGCGGAGACATACCCTGGCGGGTGATCTTGACATTGTCACCAAGCTGACCGGTCTTGCCCTGGACCTTGATGCGGTCATGCAGGAATTTTTCGAAGGCCGCGCCATCGAAGACACCGTCCGAGGCAGGGCGGGTGTAGTCAATGACGAACTTGTGCTTGGATGCAGCAGACTTTCCGGAGGCGGCCTTGGGCTACATTACGAGGGAGAGAGGGAGGAACCCAGTGTGAGCCTACTGAGAAGGGAACTCAGCAAAGCGGTACCAGGGACTGACCATCTTGATGGTGGGGCGGAGACGTCGGAAGGGAGTGGGTCTTGAGGCTGCCGGGCACGATGAGGAGCACTCCGAACTTTCTGTTGTGCTGTATAGTTTGCCTCAGGCGCTTTCCCACGCCTCGAAGGCGCGTCCAGGCGCCCAGGGTGAGCGCGCTTACAATTTGGGACCAAGTTCCCACGACATTATTCCGGGGAAATATTGCAGAAATTCCAGGTCGCCCTTTGTAAGCGCCGCAGGGGCCAGCGTCTTGTGGAAAATCGGGAGTTGGTACACTACTGCTTGCTGTTCACAGTCATGGCCCCTGCGAAAACACTTACACGGGAACAAGTGGCCTCTGCGCAGGTGCAGGGCGAGTTTTCAATTAAGTCCGAGGACAGCCAACCGAAGCTTGACACTTCACAATGGCCGCTTCTCCTCAAGAACTACGACAAGCTCCTCGTTAGGTCCAGCCACTTCACGCCTATCCCTTCAGGATGCAGCCCTTTGAAGCGAGATATTACTTCCTATGTCAAGTGAGTGCACAAATTTGTACCCGAGACAATGATTCTCAATGCGCCTAGGTCTGGGGTCATCAACCTAGACAAGCCTTCTAACCCCTCCTCTCACGAAGTTGTAGCATGGCTGCGGCGTATTCTGCGTGTGGAGAAAACTGGTCACAGCGGTACTCTTGATCCCAAGGTCACTGGATGTCTGATTGTCTGCATTGACCGCGCAACTAGGCTCGTCAAGTCTCAGCAGGGCGCAGGTGCGTGAAGCGAACATCGCGTCCTTTACGCGTTACTGAGCACAGCTCGAACTGTAGGAAAGGAATATGTCGCTGTTCTTCGTCTCCATTCTGCCCTCTCCGAATCTTCCGCTCTCCCCCGCGCAATCCAGACCTTGACTGGTGCTCTCTTCCAACGCCCACCACTCATCTCCGCCGTCAAGCGTCAGCTCCGGATTCGTACCATCTACGAGTCCAAACTCCTTGAGTTTGATGAGAAGCGCAATCTAGCTATCTTTTGGGTGTCATGTGAGGCCGGCACGTATATCCGTACTCTCTGTGTGCACCTCGGTCTCCTCCTCGGTGTCGGAGGCCACATGCAGGAGCTACGCCGTGTCCGGAGTGGTGCATTGAGTGAGAACGATGAAATGGTCACGATGCACGATGTTCTGGATGCTCAGTGGACATACGACAATACTCGTGATGGTATGTTGTACATGACTTTCGCCGAACATCTCTTCCGCTCACTCCGGAACCAGAGTCTTACCTCCGCCGTGCCATCCGCCCACTGGAGTCGCTGCTTATCGGCTACAAGCGCATCGTAGTCAAGGACAGCGCGGTCAACGCCGTTTGCTATGGCGCCAAGCTCATGATTCCTGGTCTGCTCCGCTACGAAGCGGACATCGCTCTCAATGAAGAGGTCGTCCTCATGACCACCAAAGGCGAGGCTATCGCCCTCGCCATTGCACAGATGTCAACCGTTGAGCTGGCGACCTGCGACCACGGCGTCGTGGCAAAAGTCAAGCGCTGCATCATGGAGCGTGACACCTACCCGCGGCGCTGGGGACTTGGTCCCAAGGCGATGGAGAAGAAGAAGCTCGTCAAGGAGGGCAAGCTTGGCAAGCATGGCGAGAAGATCGAGGGCGTTACACCTGCGGAGTGGAGCAAAGACTACGTCGACTACAACCGCGACGAGCAGCCCGCGGCGGGCCCGTCGACAACCTCTGCCGCGGCACCTACCCCAACATCAGCGGCGCCCGAATCGCCAGACAAGGAAGAGAAGGAGAAGAAGCGGAAGCGGATGGACAATGGGGAGGACGAAGATGCTGCGAAAGCAGAGAAGAAGCGACTGAAGAAAGAGAAGAAGGCGAAAGAGGCAGCGGAGGGCAAGACGGACGATGACGAGGAGGTGCGGCAGGAGAAGAAGCGACTGAAGAAGGAAAGGAAGGCGCGCGAGTCATTGGGCGGCGAGTCATGATGAGCACTTGGGCTTGTCTTCAAAATTCTTTTTTCACCGGCCAGCTCGCAACCCTTGTTTATTTTGCTCTTCCATCTCGTATCTTGCTTTCATGTAAGCTTCATTTGACGTCCACAATGCATGACATGTTTTGTTCTCGGAGAGCTTTTATCGACTTGCACAGAAACAGCTCACAAAGACCGTTGGCAGCCTTAGTCACTATGGCAGCAATGTATGTCATTCAGCCGAAATAAATAAAGTCCATATACATGAAGCAGCAATACAAGGGTCGTCAAGACGCTCTTCACACGAAATAAGGGAGCGAAGTACAATAGAGGCTACACAAGGTTATTAAAGCAGGCGCTCTGCGGGGTATCAAGAAACACCAGGTAACACAGCGGCACTGTCCAAGAAGAGAACGAGAGTCATCTAACGGGTCGCGAGACTAGAGCATGGCGGCGAAGATCGCGGAGATGGCGCCCAGGCCGAGCGCCAGGTTCACGCCGACGCTGGATATTGCGCCGTTCGGTTTGGACGACGGCGAGGGTGAGCTACTCGAGGTTGAGTTAACCGTAAGGCCGGTCGCGTTGGTACCGTTTAGCGCCTCCGCGAGCTGCTGGAAGGCGGTGAAGTTGCGCGTCGAGTTCTGCACCGGGTTGATGGCGAAGACCATGCCGTCGCCGCAGTGCGAGCTACCGTCAGCGTTGTGCTGCTTGCACTGTGGGACGGTGTGTCAGGGCGGCTGAGGCGGATAGCAAAAGGGGGAAGACGTACGTAGAACCACGTCGGGTCAGTGGTGTTCACGGTGATGTTGAATGACGGGAAGTCGGTGGCATTGGCAGCGACAGGCATGCTACGGGTCAAGAGTTGGTCAGAAAGAAATTCACCTCTAGAAGAGTGAAAACTCACAATCCAGAGTCGACGGTGGGAGTACCATCAGAATCAAGCATGGGTACGCAAGGAGCAGCGAAAGACGATTGAGTCACAGTGTGGTTCTTCGGGTTGCTGAAGGAGCAGTCAATAAAGATCCATTGTGCGAAAGTAAAGGAACACTTACAATAAGAACTGGACAGTGTCACGAGGTTCCGCGATAACGAACGGCGGGTCATACGCGAGGGTGCCGTTGAAACCGACCTGGACGACGTGCACATTACCGGTAAGGGATGCTGGGGTAGCAGCAGGCGATCCAGGGTAAGATGAGTAGACAGTGGTCCATGTTGAAGCCTCGACGGTGACGGTGACGGTGACAAGACTCTCCAATGGGGCCGCCGGGATCGTGGCCGTGCCGTAAGCCGCAGTGGTCAAGGACGCGGGGAGACTATTGGCAGTCGATGACCCTTCCGCCTGGAGCTGCTTACCAATTGCGAGTGCAGTGTTTTGGAAGTCCGTGAAGGAGTTGTTAGAACCGTCAGGGCCGGGGTTTATGGCGAACACCATTCCAGCACCGCAGTGGCTGGCGGGGGTATTGGCGTCTTGGTCACAGAAGACCCATACTGGACTGGACTGTGGTGGATGAATATGAGCACAAGGACAGGGAGTTACAGGCACGCTACTTACATTGTTGACAGTGACCGTGAAGGTCGGGAAGTTGTCAGTCTGATTCGCGGCAACGGGGTGGCTACGGCAGTAAATTGAGTTTTCTCCCTGCTGTGAAATACGGCACGAAGCTTACAAGCCAGAGTCAAAGCCTCCGGCCATGTGGGTGCACGGGGCAGCAAACGTCGACTGCGTCGCAGAGTGATTCTTTTGCTGGAAGGTAAACACGACCTGGTCCCCGATTTGTGCGGACGGCTACAGAACGCCTCAATCAGCATCTACCGCGTCTCTTAGAAGAGAACTAACTCACGATCACATCTGGTGTGAATGCCGTAGTCCCGTTGAAGCTGCCTACTTGAACGTCAAAAATTGCGGCCTGGACCGACGCAGCGGCCGCGAGAAGGAAAATTGAAGAAGAGAAAAACATCGCTGCCGGAGGATAGAAAGTAAAGTCACGAACGAGAGAGAACTGACTGACCAGGTGGCTTTTATGGAGGCGGGACGGGAAGGGGCTGTGGAGAGCTAAAACAGCCTGGAGGCACGATTCGTGTTTTAGATAGGCCCGCGCCCGCATGGCGGTTCCTGGACAATAACACGGAAGTATCAGCGTAACCGGTGGTTGCGACCATGTAGCCAATGGGGAGCGTTCCCTGGTGCCCCGAGTCCAGGATCCTGCTGGACAATGCGTTCGGCTCAGTGGTGTTATGCCCAAAATGGCTCTGCAGGAGGCATTTTTGCGCTCACTTTTGTGCAGCACACGAAGCCCGGATATACAGCCCCTATGGCGTGGCAGAACTTCCCTAGGCCTCCTCGGTGTTCTCTGACGAGAGAAAGGGGAAGAGAGAACGGCGACACTGCAAAAGCACTGCAGCGTCGCCGACACGACCGACATGCCCGAGACGATGTGCAAGGACAATCAGCGGTTCGCACTACCCCGGCTCCAGAGCCTCAGAGCCCTTGAGAGCCTCAGGGATGCCCAGAAAGGCAGGACAATCGTTTTTGAGGCGTTGTGGACCGCACACGGAGCTAGACGGTGACACGAGAGATGAAGGCGACGAGCGGTGTCCGCTGGCTGTGCTCCCATTTGTTCGCGTTGCTGCCCGCCCGCCTTCATGGCGGTACAAGCAAACGCCCCTTCTGTCGCGTGTGGCCCTGTGCGCGGACAATAGTCCTTCTTCAACGACTGCCACAGAGAGAACAAAAGCGCATGCTACCGCGGACGCCCGCCTTGGAGACTGCCATACCCGCTCGTGTTCTATCAGACTCGATGTCTCCGCTGCCAGCCGTATAACGGTGTCTCTGTCGTGTCCTCATCGCGCAGCTATCCACCCTTCGAGTAGCATCTGCGACCAGTCCCTCTGATCGCGAGCATCATTGCAGAGCCTTGCGGACGTCGGTTATACACTTTCCAACAGCCGTAGTACCGTGCAGACGCCTGCAGACGCCTCATTTCATCAGATTCAAAGCGTATCCATCAGCCCCTCAAACACGTCTGAGAAGGCCTGCCTGCCTCATAACATCCACGTCGGCGGACGACGGGGCTCACTTCGTCTTCTATCTTTTCCCCCCACTTGTTCTTCATATTCTATTTTTTTTATTGCTCCGTTCTTCACCAACTTCGTGTTTTTCAAATACAAAATGTCTCGCAAAGCCCCGAAGCCCCTTCCCAAATTCGAAGTTGGTGGGTAACACATCACTGTGTCTTGATATGCCTGCTGGCTCGTCTTTCATACTCTCACAGCTGACACTGGCTTGCATTCGACAGGTGACGACTACCGCATTCTTCACAGCCTTGGCGAAGGCGCATATGGCACTGTCGTGGCTGCGGTGCACAAACCCTCAGGAAGGGAGGTCGCGATCAAGAAAGTACTGCCATTCGAGCACACACTTTTTTGTCTTCGTACCCTCCGGGAGCTTAAGCTTCTCAAATTCTTCTCCGAGACATGTGTGAATGAAAACGTAAGCCTTTGCTGTGCTATGTTGCTCGTGAACGCAGCGGCTGATCGTATATCTTTTGTTTGAAACTAGATCATTTGCATATTGGATATCATCAAGCCCCCATCCCTGGATGAGTTCAAAGAAATTTATTGTTCGTGTTTCGCTCTCCAAGCGATCGGAAAATTTCATCTCATACGCTTCATGGCGCAGTCATCCAGGAGCTCATGCAGACGGATCTGCATCGTGTCATCCGCACACAGCAGTTGACAGATGATCACTGCCAGTACTTCGTGTACCAGACGCTGCGCGGGCTCAAGACGATGCACAGCGCGGACATCGTACACCGGGACCTGAAGCCCGCGAACCTGCTTCTGAACGCGAACTGCGACCTCAAGGTGTGCGATTTCGGGCTCGCGCGCAGCACACGGAGCACGAACCCGGGCGGGAAGGAGGCGGGGCTCATGACCGAGTACGTCGCGACGCGGTGGTACCGCGCGCCGGAGATCATGCTCTCGTTCAAGATGTACACGAAGGCGATCGACATCTGGGCCGTCGGCTGCATCCTCGCGGAGCTGCTCACCGGCCGGCCGCTCTTCCCCGGCCGCGACTACGGGCACCAGCTCGACCTCATCCTCGACGTCATCGGCACGCCGACGCTCGAGGAGTTCTACGGCATCACGAGCAGGCGCTCGAGGGACTACATCCGCGCGCTGCCCATCCGCAAGCGCAGGCCGTTCAGCTCGCTCTTCCCGGATGCGTCGCCGGAGGCGCTTGACTTCCTGCAGAAGACTTTGGTGAGTGCTTGCGCGTCGATGGGGTCTGGTGTAGAGCTAATCTTGGAGGCTGGACAGACTTTCGATCCCAAGAAACGTCTCTCGGTCGACCAAGCCCTCGAGCACCCGTATCTGCAGGCGTATCATGACTCGGAAGACGAGCCTGCAGCAACGCCGCTCGACCCGGAGTACTTTGAGTTTGACTGTACGCAGCCCATTCCCTCGCCCGCTTGCCCGTGGTCTAACCCCGAATTTTCGCAGACCTTGATTTGAACAAGACGCAACTGAAAGAGCTCCTGTATGACGAGGTCCAGTCGTTCACGCCATGCATATAACCCATTCGTCGCAACCACCGCCATTGATCTTTATGCTGCGATATTTATTATAGATTATTCGACTCTGTACCACACGCCCTGGACTGTTCGCTTTCGTCGCATTCACTTAAAAACACTAGGTCAACCATTCAAGACACTCTCTTCATGGTAGAACTCTTTTGTCATCGCGTGTATTATTGATTTATACCTGTACCCCCAACACTACCACTTATGTTATGTAATGTAATTTATTCACCGTTCCATGAGATACCTTGCATGATATCAATAGGACGCGCGGCTCGCATGCGCTTGGAATGTTTTGCGTCAATTTGAGTATTATGTACAAGCAACCCAAAGTCCGAGGTCAGGCTTAAGCAAGGCGAAGCTACAATCAAGATGCACGAAGCACAGAGAAAGCTATCGACACAGTGTGGGGCGCTCAAATTGGTGGTGGTGTTGGGCAGAGCATTGGAGAAGCAAGAATACCATGACATGTGCGCAAGGCTTTCAATTTTCGTTCTACAAGCGATGATGTTGGGCTGTGCATCCTTCAAAAGAAAGAAAGAAAAAGATAATAAACGCATTTTTCCGCTCCCCTCCTCCCTCACGCGCGCCGCGGCTAAGACATCCGCGGGCTACGCTCCCCCGGTTCGTCGTGCCACACCCTGTTCAGAACCCCCCGGGGGCCGCGCTCCAGAAGCTCAGGCTCGCGACCCCCTCGAGCCCAAAATCCCCGAAGCGCGTGTCCATGTCGCGCTCCGTCCCGTACATCGTCCGCCGCACCGGCGGCGCCGGCGTCTCGGGCGCGCTCGGCAGCGGGACGAGGGCGAGTCCAGGGATCGCCGAGCTCCCAGTCCTCGCGGGCCCCGCTGGTGCTGCCTGTACCGTCGTTGCTGTTGGCGCCGCGGGCGGCGGCGGCGCGCCAGACGAAGAGGGGGGTAGGGTCGAGTTCGAGCTCCCAGCGAGCGGGGCGCGCAGGTGCGTGCTCGCCGCTGTCGCCACCGCCGGCGGCGGTGGCGGCGGTGGGTGGTTGGTGATGGTGGTCGTCTGCCCCTCCGCTGTGGACCGCGGCTCCTCGTGGAGGGAGGGAAGCGGCGGCGTGTGCGTGAACGCCGCGGGGCTGACGGTGGCTTCCCCCGTCCGCTGAGCGTTCGAGGAGGTGGTGGGTGGTGCTGCCGCCGTGCGGCTCACCTGGGACGGCGGGCGTCGCGGCGGCCCGAGCGGGTGGAACGGGTCGTTGCGCTCCCGCCGGCCGTTGCGCTCGACGTAGGCTGGCGTCGGGCTCGTCGGTGCTGCCAGCGCAGGCATCGGCCCGCCCGCCGCGGGCGTCGGAGTTGCAGGCCGCTGGAAGATGGACGTCGCAAAGTTGAACGTGAACGCGTTGTTGCCCGTGGATGGAGCCTGGTTCTCAGCCCCGTTCGCAGTACTCGTCGCGATGATAGGCGTTGCACCAGTCGATGGCGTACGGGTTTGCGAACCAGATTGGGAGTTGGTTTCCGGTGGTTCTGGTGGTTCCTCGGGTCCACTAAAAACTGTAAAGGCGGGACCGCGAGGAACCTGAAGGATTGGAGGTGGCACTTCCGCCTCGTCCATCTGATCGACGTCGTCTGTGCTGTCCCACCGGGCCAAGGCACCTGGACTTGGTTCCTTCTCTGCCAGCTTCCCACGTTTTCTTGCTGGTCGTATGACATGTGTCTGACACACCTCTGCACTCATCCCAACCTCTTCACCTGCTTCAATAACCCCGACAATATTGTCATCGTCCTCTAAAGTCCTATTGCGCTTGCCCAAGGCCGACAGCGTTTCGTTTTCATCGGACGGCCCCGGTATTGAGCTGGAAGTAGTGGGTACGACAAGGTAGTCGCTGAATAGCAAATGAGTTGTGCGCAAAACATAATGATAAGTACGATATGCGCACCTTGAGAGCGTCCTGGTTCCGCTAGAATCCGTGGCTGCAGCGACTCGTAATGATGCGATCTCCTCTTGCAGTGCTCTCACCTGAGCCTCAAGCGTACTCGTCATGGACTGCGATCTTAGCGCAGCCACTTCAATCTTTAGATCCTCTACCATATCGCGCAAAGTGTCGATATCCGAGGCTTTGCTCGTTAGCCGTTTTAGCTCTGCTTGCATTTCGGCTATTTGGGCTTGCGACGAATGACTCTGTCGTATTACAGTCAGCTATATGCGGATTTAAGCCGCGGAATTCTCTGCGAACCAGTACAGCAGATGGCTCGTGGGATTTGAAGATGTTTTCGGCTGATGAACGAGAAGGAATGTCGGTAAGAGGCGAAGAGCGGGCTGTTGGGGCGTCGTGCTTTGTACCTGAGGGCCCAGCTTGCGGCATTTGCTCTGTGACGTCCCAGGATGCATGAGAAGTGCAAATAGCCGTGTCATGTGTGGGGTCCTCACCTTCCGACACTTCTCGAATGGGCAGCTGGCTCGGAGGTATGCTTTTGCTCCCGCCTCTCGTCCTCTTCGGTATGCCCGAACTGACATTCCGCACACCAGGACGCATACGAGGCACTTGAAGAGCTTTAGGCCGCCCCAAACCGATCCTGCGATGGGACTCGACGGCGTTGCGGGTGCGCGTTGCGGGCCCAGGGGCGTTGGTGACTGGCTGCCGCACTGGGTGGGTGGCAGCGCCGTTTCGGGCGACAGGGTCGGGAACTGGATTCTGTCTCTCTGGCAGGTCTTCGTCCATCGGTTCGTCCTGGGTGTCTGGAACGTCGTGTATGATCATGGAGCCGACGCGCTGTCTGATGCCACTGCTGGAGCCTGGACGACTGCTGACGATGCGGAAGGAAGAGGAGCGGTTGCGGGTGGACGGGCGGGGGTCAGGCTTGCTGGTTTCGATGAGAAGTTCGATGAGAGCCTCTGTCTTCATGTTTGCCTTGAGACCGCGGTCCTAGGGAAGGCGGAGTGAGCATGAGGAGGGACAATGAGAATGGCGGAGAGCTCGCCTTGCAGAGCTTCTGGAGGTCGGCCCTGCGCATGGACTGGAGGGTCTTTCTGTCTGGGACAGCGGCCATGGCGCGAGGGGGCGGGAGAGGCTGAGGACAGCCGTGGCAGGCTTCTGGCCGGGGCCGTGATGATGGTTCTCTCCAGGGTTCAGACAGACGCGACGCGAACCCGGCACGTGCACCACGTGGCGCTTCGGTTCGCTCCGGCCATTGTGCTGGAGAGTGCTGGAGGGTCTCGGCCATCGCGCGAGGTGCTCAATGAAACTGCCGCGTTTCGCTTCGCTTGTCGCCGCAGCCGCACGGCGAGCAGCGATGCCTGATCCCACAGGGTCATGAGGACACCAACACACCTCAAAGCCTCTGAAACCCCCTCGGAACTCGCACGGCCGCTCTCTCTCTCTGCTTCTCTCTCTGCCCACTCACCATGCCCATATCGCTCAAGCAGGTCCAGGAGCACAACTCCAAGCAGTGAGTCCCTTGCTTTCCGCACAGCGCCAGTCTCCAACATCTGCTGCAGGTCATGCTGGGTCATCATCAGAAACAAGGTCTATGACGTGACAGACTTTCTCCCAGTACGTGGCTTTGCTTCCTAGCTACTCGCACAGCTTGAACGGAACTATCTATCCATCTCAGGAGCACCCCTGGAGGCGCCAAGATTATACTCCAGTACGCAGGCAAGGACGCTACCGAAGCGTACGAGCCCATACACCCCCGGGACGCCCTGGACAAGAACCTGCCTCCAGAGAAGCACCTCGGCGAGCTCGAGGCTTCCGCCGCACAAGACTTGGACAATGCCCGGCGCAACAAGAAAAAATCCGCGGACGAGATCCGCGCCGAGAGAGAGCAGGCCAACAAGCCCCCTCTGAGCCACATCATCAACCTCCATGACATGGCGCAAGTCGCCCGCAAAGTCCTGCCGTACAAGGCCTTCGCGTACTTTGCTTCCGCCTCGGACGACGAGCTCAGTATGTCTCCCTTCCTTATCTCCTCCGCCCCACACTACTAATCACGACGCTCGCAGCGACCCACGAAAACGCGCGCGCCTTCTCGCGCTTCTTCTTCCACCCGCGCGTGCTCCGCCCGCTCTCCAACTGCGACCCCTCGACGACCATCCTGGGCTACAAGTCCGCCCTGCCCATCTTCGTCAGCGCCTCAGGGCTCGCAAAGCTCGGGCACCCCGACGGCGAGAAGAACATCGCGCGCGGCGCGGGCCGGACGGGCATCATCCAGATGGTCTCGTCCAACGCGTCGCTCTCCTA